CACTTTCTATTATTGTCATACGTAAACATGCCCAAACAAACATGGAAAGAGTAAGTTTTGTCAAAGGAGTCTCACAAAAAGGAAACCGCAGCGGGTGCAATATTAAAATTAGATCTATATACTGTTTATAAATATATATACACATACATATGAATGATTCCGAGATTCTCTTTCCGTATTTGTCGACAATGCTAACTCTCTTGGTTTATTCTTGTGTTTGGAGAAAACGTTCTAATTTCTCTGGGGGACTGTGGGTTGCTCCCAAACACCACAACAGCAGACATTAATAATTTGCCCATTTGAGAGTAATGACATCGTACACAACGTGGAGAAGTGGCCCCCAGACAATTGGATAAATAGATGGGGTTACAGAGCTCATTAGTAAAAGCAATGACTCCAAAAATCATCTTTAAAAATATACATATAAGTTATGTACACCTAAAACAGTTTGAGTCAATATTCATGAATGTCTATTTATCATTTATGAACCTCTGTTTCAGCCTACTCTTGTTTTTTCAAAGACACTAAGCAAAGTGGAGCCATGGCTGGTCAGTGCGTGGATGGGAGACTGCAGGGAATATCAGGAGCCACACAGAGGTCTTCGTGACTTCGGTACATTGTGTCCTTAGGCAAGACAATTCTTGATTACAATCTAGATTGAAGGCTGTGGTTGGCAGAGTCGTATTAGAGTTTCAGTTTTTATCTGTTTCAACGTTAAAACTGGTGAATAGAAGTAAAAGGAGAATTTAAAGGTGCATTTCTCAAATGTCCTGGTGGTGAAGGCCTAAAATGACCCACAATTTGGTTTAAAACATTTACATTCCTCATTTATGGATGATTGTAGTGTTTTAGCCTCTCCACCAGAAGTCTCAAACCCTCTATACTAGTCGATACCACACTTTCTGTGCAATGTTTCAATGTAATTAAACTCTACAATATAAAGCCTCATTACTTTTTTCCAGTTTTGTTTCTATCTTCAGCTGGACTCATTCTGTTCATAGATTGGTCACTTATTTGATCAAAATACAATCATGATAAAAAAAAATCATTGATACAATCAGTTAACTATAAAACTTTCCACAAACGCTTGATCGTTGGTTTTCCAGTTTTTGTCTCTGTTCTATGCCCAATCATTTGGTTTCTCTTTTGTTAATGTTAAAGAACAAGATGAGAACCTCTGTGTGTGCACAGATCTGTTTGCTTTGACGTTCATATATTTCACACACACAAACACGTGATGAACAAACCCCTTAAGCCCAGCTTCACCCAGACTCGACCCCATGCGGCCCCTGGGTAAATTGAGTTTGAGACCCCTGCTCTTCACAGATATGACTTGTAACTTAGCCCATTGAAATTACATTCTTGTTTCCAATGAAAATGGAAAAATAATGACAAACTGTATAGATATCCAGGAAACACACTCAGATGAACCCGGCAGGGCTGTTTTCAAGTTGAGGAGAGCTTTATGTTCCACGTTGTCCGACCTAAAGGCACGGAATCATTCCAGCCAATGGAAACAAATGAGTTCTTGTGCTCTCATTAATACAATATAGACCGAATAGTACTTGGGTGAGTAAGTGTACACACATTATGAAGGTCAATTGATGTGTTTGTGTGTGGATCAATGCACAAAGTCGTGGGTCGTGGTTCTCGGAGCGATTACACCACATTATGTCAGGACATCAATGATGGCGCACTGAATTATTCTCATCGATCGGCCTCACACTCGTACAAATGTGCGCATAAAATAATGAAACGTGAACCGAGAAGGAGGCAAAGAGAATCCAAATACTCTCAAAAGTTATTGGAGAAATGTTTGAGGGTTAGTGTTTGCTTCTACTGTCTTTTTATTAGGAAATGAATTGTGTATGTTCTGGACTTTTGGTTGTTACCGGCTGGCCCTCGCTCCAAACTGTCCAGAACAGACGACCATTAAAATACTATAAAAAGCATTTTTTGGCACTGACTGTTAACTCCTTTCCACCTTCTTTCAAGTTGTATATAACAACTTTTGCCTTTTGCATGTGTTTTTGTTATGTTTTTTTGTTTTTTTTCATTGTTTGCCTAAGTTCAGCAAATGTGCTTTACAAATACATTTAACTTGACGTGCCTTTTGTGTCAGTAACAGGCTTTTTTGTATCCAGACAAATGACCACAAGTATCTCAGAAAAGAGCCGTGTTCACACAAAAAACACAAATATATAGGAAAAGACCAAGGCCGAAACTGTGGGCTTGTGTTTACAGGCCAAGATGCCTCAAATGGCCTAGTTTAATACCTCCAGGGTGGAGAGGGCAGTAAACAAGAAGTTCTTAATGTCAGACTATTTAAAAATAAACTCATAAGAAAACCCCAATCCTTTCCGCATACAGAACGAACAGTGGTAAGAACGCTGCTTTGTTACTTGCTGCTCGTAAATGTACACAATCTTTCTTACTAACATATGTATATTCTTGCTGCTAGAGAGTATAAGCTTATAATTTAGCTAAAAATTATCAAATATTTTATTGTATTCACATTTTGAATCAAAAAGTGATATCCATAAATATGGACAGAACAGACAATAAAACAGAAATAAAAATCATAAATATTTTCAAACTAAAGAAGCAACTTAGGCACTTATTTTCCCATGTGCCTTCAATTCAAGTTCAAGTGTAAGTTGAAAAAAATTATGGAAAAAATACAGACAAACAATATTGAGGTAGAAAATAACATGATCTTTTAATAAAAATACATTTGTATAATAAACAGCATGGACCTTTAAAAAAGAAAAAGAAATGATCAATCCACAAAACACAAAATGAAGACAAGAAGAAAAAGACAGAAAGGGAAACACAAAGGCGAGTTTACACATTTGAAGTTGACACATTCACATATCACTGACTTTCCCATAACACATGTGGATTGCCTTTGAGTTCAGTTCAGTTCCGGGGGTCTACAGCAGCTCGTATCAGACAAACACAGCACATAAACTAGATCCTGTGGTCCGTTTAAGGAAATAACAAGACAATTTAGGTCCACAAATAGTAAAACACTACAACACATACGATGGACACGGGGTGTAAAGTGCCATTATTGCACATCGGACAAAGCTTTTACAGAAAGTTGTCATAAAAAACACTGTACATTCTCATATAAATATATATTTGTTTTCAACACAATTCAATGCCTGTTCATTTCCTGTGTTCTTAGCAGAGAGCAACGCTAATGTCGAAGGAAACATGGAAAGTAGTTCTACATGAATACATTGAATTTGTTTTTAAAGGAGCACTAGGGACGCCTCCACGACATATTTTTGTCTGGAATGTTCCACAGTATGACATTAAACATATGTATCTTGAAAATAGTCAATTTGTGTGCTTTTAGACAAAAAAACAGACAAAAATTGACATGAAAATTGGCATACATACTTAGTTAATGTGACAGGTCTAAGTAAAAGCAGGGTTGGCTCTTCACAGATCTGACCTATAATAGGATATGAAAAAAACCGTAATGCCATACAGTGCAACATTGACAGTAACAGCATCTTAATGGGGCCTATAGTTACAGTGGACCTTTGAGTAATACTGTAATGTGACATAGAGAGCACTTCAAACTCAATCTAAAATAAGCTTTGCACAGACTGCTCTCTGTGGACAGCAATGGGCTCCAGCGTAATGTCCGTCCGGTCTTTTGCAATGTAAATTACTGCTGATTCAATATCGCAGTTACCGTTTTAAGTGATGATGTTGGGACAGGGGTGGGTTCTTGGATAAATCACACGCTGCTGTTGTGAAGTGCCGACCCATGCAGAAAACAGAAAGTTGGCTGCAGAGCTGGTGCATATAAAGACATGTAAATGCTTACAGAAGGAACGGACGAGCGATCTGAGGAGCTGTAAACGCACCCATGTCTTGTTACTGCGTGAGATTGAGACGTCAGCCCTGTTTTTCATGAGATGCCACTTTTTTGCACATACTAGCATCAAGAACAAGCTCCTATTACCTCTCGGTCTCTTCAGCCAGAGGAGGCCCCCAGGCCCTTTTGGTTGCATTCGCACACTAACAGTATTAAAGTGTCTATAAACTGGATTCAACGAATAGTTCTACTCGATACAGATTAGGGTTGCCAGATCAATCACTATCAAATCTAAATTTGACATTGGCCTTTTTTAGTGCTTTGCAAACAATAAAATGCCTGGTCTTTTGAAAGATAAATATCAGATCATAGAACATTATAGTTTCTTCTTAGTTCACACTGAACAATACATATTGCTTTGTAATATTTTTTTCATCTTTTTCTAATCAAACAATGTTTAACTGAAAATTGGTCTCAACCTCAAAGTAAAAAAAAAAAAAAACATCAAATAGGGGGATAGTATAATTTAAACTTTATATCATACTATAAAGTCTGTTCTATACTATAAAACACACAGACCTGTTTTAACAAAATCTGAGTTTGATACGCCTGAAATCCATGGTGCAATGCCAGGGTGGGCGTGCATTTTTTGTCCCTGACCAGTTTTTATTTTTCTCTAATTCGGAATCTGACCAAAATGTATAATACACACATTGTTCATAAAACTTAATTATACCTTTTTGGCTGAGTTGCTGCCTCCAAGCCATTTTTGTGTTTAATGTGATTTAATGAACAATGTTTTTAACTCACCACCTGCAGGAGGGTCAGTGAGGGGCTGGTGCTCTGTGTACCGGGTGCAGCTCTGACTGCCACCCCCCGACCCACAAATGGATTAAGGGGAAGAAAATGGATGGATGGATGTTTCTAACTCAGTATCGCTCATGCTGTGTCAAAAAAATACAGTATACTATTATAAAAAAAAACCTAAACATAGGATGCACAAAGTGCAAAAATGAGTTTATCCCCACGGCAACACATAGCAGGAAATTCAATTTGTATGAAACAAATGTTTGTTATTCTGTGCAAATCTGATGTTGATTCATTAAAAGGCAGTGAAGTCCTTTTGATGAAGTCTATCGTTCATGAAAGTCTATTGCAGCTCCTGTCACCGCCTGCAAATGAAAAAGTAAACAAGCTGGTTATCTTGCCATTTTGTGACATCAATAACATATGTCATCTGTACCTTTTCTCTCTGGAATATAATATTAAAAAGAAACCATACATATTTTACCATCTTAAGTACCTCAGTAATATTTTCATTCAGACGGCCGATTCTTATAGAAAAAGTCTGGCGCTTCCATGTCCTTCTCAATAGTTCGGCAATTGAGGCACTAAATAGCCCTTTAAACAGCTATTTGATTTCAATAAAGGATTAATAAACTTTGCTTTGGCCTTTTTCACCTTTTATTTTTGGAACAAAAAGGTTGTTTCTTCATCAGGGTTTGGAAGTTTGTAGATGTTTTAATTTTTTTCAGAAAATCATAGAAATGGGATATTGATTTTATACTTTTCTAGTGCTTTTCTAGTTTTACATGGGGTTTTGGGAGATCATTTCAACCTTTGTTTCTATTGGAGAACACATTGTTAGAATAGGAATAATGGAAATGTTGGGTTGTATTTTCAACGACATAAGCCACAGCTACAGTACACACGTTAAGACTTTAGTATGTATAATTAATTGCTCAACAAAAAAAACTACTCCTCCAAATATTGTGGCATTGAGCCAATGGCTATAATGTTGGTAAAAAGAACTTAGCTAAAACACCAGAACTAAATCATTCTAATAATCCGAATTCAAGTGTATGCTCTCCCCTAGTGCAGTATATTTTGGTACCTCTGCCTTGTTGTGGAGCTGTAGTTGTCCAACATCTGGGTACTGGCCAATTCCAAGTTCCAGTCACACATTTCCAGGAGCTTCAGACACTCTGTCCTGCTTCTGAGGCCCAGACAAAACAACTGCTCCACCTGTGTCACAGCAACAACACCAGCGATTAGGAGCACATACACAGGCTGGATTACTGTGACCAAATGTGCTGCCAGCGTCCAGAGGCACAATACTGTTCCCTTGGGCAGATAATGTCCAAACACCATGTCTCCTATTAGTGCTGTAAGTGCAGCTAATGATGAGGGCATTGGGGCTCCTCTGACATCCTGGGCTGCCACTTCTTTATGTTCATTGCTGCCTCAATTGTCCTATTTAAAGATAAACATTGACCAGTGCACAGTTTTCCATCTTCAAATATATATTATAGTTAAGTGGTCTCCAAGGACACAGCCCCTCATTCACACTCACTGTACACTTAAAAAGCTGAGTCCACAATGGCCCACATGAGGATGCACAAACATACAGCCACAACAAAGACTGGGCACTCACCTTCAGATAGTGCACTGCCTTCTGTACGTCCCAGCCGTGGTTGTGCAGCGCCGCCTGGCATTCCTCCATTGTCACTCCATGGACCGCCTCCTGCACCTGCGATAGATACACGCTATGATATCTCTGACATTTCTACAGAACCAGCAGCAAGACAAAAGGGCTTGATACAATCATTTGAAAAGTAATTATATAAAGAAACGAGTGCAAAATGCCAAGCACCAGTCATCAATATAAAAGCTTGCAGTGATTTCAACCCAAGTTCAATATGGTTCAAAAAGAGAAGCAATTAAGTAACAATTATGTTTTTCACTTCAGCTGAGCCTGTCACCGGAAAATCACTTTTTAATGGGATATTCTCTGCATTTTAAGAATGTTGTCTACTAATGAAAAACAAACACAAACCTACACCCACACACCACTTTGGTAGTTAAAATGTTAACAATTAATCTGTGTATGAGGCCTATTTAAGTGCCAATAGGACACCCTTTTGGCTCAATCGCATTTCCATATTCAGAAGGGGAAACAGAATTCGATTACGTTTTTTAAACCAATTTCCCAGTTATGTAAACATTATGAAAACATGGTAATACATTTGAACTAAAATGCCTTAGGGATTTTTTATCCTTTATTGATCCTTCGGAATCAATTAAGCATTAATCTACCTAGATAACAATGCATTAAAACATCTCACCATTCTGACTAGGTCAGCAGAGGGCCCTCCCCCCTCAGTGTCCACACTGACTCGAGGGAGACTAACTGTCTTCAAGCCTGAGCGCAGCACACCACTGCTGCTGTTGGTGGAGAGAGCAGGTGTCTGGCCCTGGCAGTGTGAGAGAGTCTGGTTGTTGAGCACCATAGGTTTAACTGCAGCCATATTGGTGGGGCGGCTAAGTCGCTCCTCCACAGGGCTGGAGGGGAAGCTCTCAGCCTCCCTGAAGAAGCGGTCATAACGGTCAAGGTATGGGGGTCTCTCTGGCAGCAGGTAGTAATGAGTGTTGCTGACTTTGCGACCATCCCGGACAATGGGCAGAATGCAGGGGCCCTTACTGGGGAGATCCTTCCCCTGCGCCTGGATGACTTTGGGAGCAGCATATTTAGGATCTGAGGCAAAGCTGTGTGTGGTGGGCATGGTCGTGGCAGGAGACGTGGAGAGGTAGGACCCATAAGTGTGAGAAGAGGGACAAGAACTGTGGGAGTGCATGACTGTAGGACTGATGGAGTACATTCGAGGCTGAGGAGAGCCCACCAACAGGCTCAGGGGACTGGGAGTCCGAGAGTCTAATAATGGATCTCTAGGTGGGATCTGTGGAGGAATCCCCTGGTCTGAGCTTGACAGCTCTTCTGTGAGCTCGGCTGGAGAAGTTGACAGAGATAGGTCCTGAGACCAGCGAGAACCAGAGTAGCCTCCTCTTTTAATGGGCCGAGGGGGAATTGGCACTCGGGGAGGAATGAGAGGTTTGTCGTTAGTACAGAAAGAGCTCAGGGGGGTCTGAGAACCATAGCTCTGTGAAGGAGAAGTGGTGCGAGTAGAAGCTGCAGGAACATGCAGCCTCCTCATGCATTCCTGCTGCAGCTCCTTGAAGATCTCTGCAGACTGTGAGAATGCACTGGAGCAGCACTGCTTAGTGGGAAGAAACAGATTGTCCTCGAGGCCTGGGTTGTGTGAAGTACAGGGGGCACTAGACTCCTCTTCTTTGGTGTTTTCAAGAGTCTGCTCTTCTCTGTGCGGCTTCTCTGTGCCATTAATAGAGCTCACCTATAATCAACAACATTCATATATTGAAGCATCTGATTATTAATGAAAGCATTTTTTCTTACTTACTTCCATATCATCTTCATCTTGTGCTACATCGTCATAGGCTGGAGGGGGGGGCAGTGGCCGGGTATCCCAGTCCACAACAGGGGTGGGGTGCAGAGGGCGTGGCAGGCTGCTGGAGGGGCTTTGGGGAGGGGTGCAGTCCAGTATGTTGTCTGCTTCCAACGCCAGTCGAGCCAGTGTGGGGATGTGAACCTCTACCACAGGAGAGGGGGAGGACGCAGAGGGGGCCTGTTCCTCCCCAAAATCAATAAGGGACACTTCGGAGTGCTGGTTTGGATTTGATAATCGACTTCCCTGTTTGGAAGCTGACACCCAGGCAGCAGGTTTCAGTTTCAGCCCTTTGACAGAACCAGCTTTAAGACAGGACAGACTCTTGAGTCCTGCTGAAGTCAAATCCTCTTCCTCATTTACAGGATCATAACAGGGCTCTGAAGAACAAACAGAAGAAAATAAATAAACAACATTTCATAACAAAGACTAAACGAGGACGATGTACGCGTCATATTAAGTGTCATTGTTGCATTTAATTACATGCAAGGATTTCCAATTAAAACCACTCCAGTAATCATCTATCTTTGAGTAATTTGCATACTTGTTGAGAATAGTTTTAAGCCCCTCGAAAATAGCTCTCTTTAGTTCCATAAAGTACACTTGAAGATGTCTTCATATGGCAGACAGGGTCATTTTGAATTTAATTAATCTTCTGTTGGAGCCAAAAAGAAAATTGATTCGTTTATGCCTGACACTTTTGAAAGTATAAAGTTGCATATGATTAATCAATGAATTACTTACACTACAGATATTAGCATCATAGTCCATGCCTTCAGATAAATAAATCAGATAAAAGTCACAAGTCATTTGAAAAAGCACAAGCCGTTGGTTAGGCCACAACACTGCAAACTGTTTTAGCTCCACACAAAGAGAGAAGCGTTTGACATGGCAGCCGTGGCACTCAGATGGCAGATGTACCTTTGAGGAGTGGCGCTAAGAGGGAACAGAGGGGGCAGGAGCAATGGCAGAGGAGCTGCTGAGAGACACCAGACTTACTCTTGATTAAGACAGCTGGTTGGGGCGGGCGGGGAGGGGGCCCTTCTTTTGAAAAATGACAAAAAACCGCATCACCGCCGCAGAAAAGAGGAAAGAAAGAAGAGAAAAGCAGCATTGACGGTTAGGCAAAATAAGCACAAAGCAAAATGTCAGAGGCAAACTTTTAAGAGAAAGTGTAAACAAAGTCATTTCAGAGAGTTTTCCCTGCAGCTCGTATTGTTGTGGGGTTTCGTGGATTTGTTTGATCATATGTTGTGAGCAAACTGTTTTGGACCGCTGTGCTTTATGGGTTTTACTCACTTTTGGATCGCCCTGGGAGCTGCGTGGGCCGAGTGCCGGTGAAATCTGAAGCCAGGACGTCCTGAGGATCCATGGGGTTACCAAGGTATAAGCTGAAAGCACAGATCAAAGGGGAGCTGGAGTTACATCTTAGATTGCGTTTGCTGAATGGTGTGCTACTGCCATCTAGTGGAGGACAATTCTCATCACAAGGACTATATAAGCCAGTACATGTTTTGAGTCCTATTTTCACAAGCTTAAAGAAAAGGTCAGTTACTTTTCAAATCATGAAAAAGGACAAACGCGACTTACTTACGATGGCAATAAAAAAAATCTTATTCTGAAAAGTATTGACAAAGTGTGGCATACTCATCGATGCGGTTGGGGAAGCCCCAGCAGTGGTGTGGGTCAGTGTCTCCGTGGCCTGTGTGGATGAAGCTGTTTTTCAGAGGCCGGCTGATGTCATGAGCTGATAAACCAGCAACAGAAGTCACTACATTTCGAGGGAACTGGCCAACTTTTAGAGTGCGCTTGTTTTGTCCGCGCCACCAGTAGTTTTCAGCCCTAAAACAAAGGCACATGAAAAACATATTAAGTTCATACAGTTCTATAGTTTATAGATATAATATCATATTTTTCTCACCTTCCCTCGATGATTGTGATGACATCATTGATCTGGATTAGGAGTTTGTCGGGTTCTTCAAAGTCTTGCAGCGCGCACATATCTGTAGGCATGGTCTAGAAGGAAGTGTTGGCTTATTAGGCTTATTCTATTCTACATGCATGCAACTCTAATGTTAAATGTAGTTTAACAATTACATGTCTAAATGCACATTTACAATATCACCCTTACTTATACTATTCTAATACACAAATTCAAACACCTGGCAATGAATGCATAAATGAAAAAAAAAAGAAATACAAAAGTATATTTTTATTTCTTTTGGCAGGTTTTACCATCTTTTGGAAAAACCATCAATTCACTTGGACGTTCCTAGCCTGGCCTTAGCCATCCGCAAACTCCGGTCAATTGTCAAAATGTAATTTGTACGATGGTGTAGTACGACCAGGCTAGAATGTTCCCATCTCCAGTCATTTTTCTACTGTATTACTTAGTTGTACCTGGTTGTAATTTACATCAACTAATTACACCATACAAACAACACAGTATACGGCTGACATTGCTCTTAGAATTACATGAATGTCATATTTTGTTCCAGTTTATAGCATACTAGTGATTAGGTTTTTTACATTTGGAGACTGTACACATATATAAGATATATTTTATTTTTATTTTTTACAGTGTAAATAATGCAAAAACAATATTTGCACTACACCTTACACTCTACACCCTCCCCTCATCTGTATATGTTTGCTGTATATGTCTGTGATGTATGCCACAATATAATTGCTTCACCAATAAAAATGATTTCATGTTTTATCATGAAACAATTGAAAGGTTACACAAAACAACTACAATCATGTAAATAACATTAAATAAAGAGTAAATAGAATATTCCAGCAAACCTCAAGAAGAAACTCTCGAAGGGCAACAAAGGTGGGTCTGTCGTCTGGTTTGGGAGCCCAGCACTGAAGCATCACATTAAAAATATCTTGAGGACAATCCTCTGGCTTTGGAAGGCGCTCTCCCTCTTTATCTATTTTGTGAAGAATCTTAACGTGAAGAGAAAATAACAATTTTAAAAGTGATTAATAATGACAGCATTAGCGATATCTTGACGGCATTATGGTACCTGGCTTCCATTGAGTCCAAGCCACGGCTCCTGGCCGTGAGTAAACATTTCCCACAGAGTGACTCCAAACATCCAGGTGTCGGTGGCGTGAGAGAATGTTCTTGTCTTCAGACTCTCTGGAGCACACCTACAGTAAAAGATAGTCCTGTTTAAAGACCTAAGCACATTTAAACAAACAACTAAAACTATTCAGAAAATCCCTCTTTTGTACCTTCTTCACCTACCATGCAAAGGGGACCTTGCGATGCTCCTGCATGACATAATGCTCATTGTTGTTGGGGAGTGCCCTCATGAGACCAAAGTCTCCAATTTTCACTTTGTGAGCGGAAGCAAGGAGGATGTTCCTAAAATGATACCACCATTACTATGAATGCATAAGTTTACTTAACCGACAAGGTAAAGCAATAAAACATAACATTAAAAATAAATTAACTAAAACTAAACAAATTTGTTTTTGTACTACAACACACTCAAACAAGTAAAATAATATAATAATAATAATGGTTTGGTTTTGTATTGCAGGGTGTTTCAAGTGATTTTCAAATTGAACGGGTTATTTTTGAATGAAAGTTATTTTCTCTGAAATGCTCTCCACCCAATAAATCCAGCCAAACTGTGACTCATTTTATGAGCAGATCCTCATTAAAATAAAGACCTTTCTCACGTCAACAGTATGACTGAATTAGGCGTCTAAATAAAGAGCTGTGTGTTTGCTCCTCAGGGCAGGCACCTGGCTGCCAGGTCTCTGTGGATGAAGCGCCTCTGCTCCAGATAGGCCATGCCACAGGCCACTTGCACCGCGTACTGACACAGAGTGTGGATGAGCACGGGCCCCTGAGGCCGCACACAGCGCAGCCGCTCCAACAGCGAGCCCAGAGCAGCCAGCTCTGTCACCTACAACACAAGAAAAACACATCCAACACTTAAAGGTCAGATTTTTATTTAGCTCACAAATCCACCCTTCCTTCTAGCCTCCACCCATATTTTGTATCCGTAAAGCAGCAGGGAAAATTGTGCTTCTCACCATTTTCATGGGGTGTGTGAGCACAACACCGTAGAGCCGAATGAGGTTTTGATGGTCCAGGGAGTGCATGGCATTAACTTCACAAATAAAATCCTCCAAGGCGTCTGGCTGGCTCAGCACATCTGTCTTTAGACACTTCACAGCAACATTTAGCTGTTGGAGCATTTTCAAATACATATTTTATTAAATTTACATAGATTAGGTGCTTTAAATATAAATATTTAAACGGCACATGGGCTCATTACCAGTTTCCCAGCTGGTGTTAGCCACTCCCCTCGCTTCACGACCCCAAAAGAGCCATCTCCCAGTTTCTCAAACAGAGACAAGTCCTTCTCAGGAATGAGACACGTGAGTGCCTGCTGTCCCTCCAAAGCAGCAGTGTCACTGGTCTGAACGGCCAGGACGCCCTCAGCCAGCCCCAGCGGGGAAGTGGGGGAGAGCTTTCTGAAAGAAGACATTGGCTGGCCCTGCTGGGGGGTATCTCCTTCTGGACGCTTGCCACTGAACACCTTGATGACAATGAAGAGTACAAAATCAACCAAGTTTCTTTAAATGCCTCAAGCGTTCTGGTGGTGACCTGCTTTTTGCTTGGGTTCATCTGAATGTTGTTTTCTACAACATGGCATCAAACTATCCTTTTACATTGGAAACAATTATGTGACTTTATTTGGCTCGGTACAAATGATCTGATAGTCTCATAGTAAAATAACATATTTGTATGCACTAAAATGATCCATGATTGAGGAATGTACATGTTTTAAACCAGACTGATTGACGCTTGAGGCAAAAAAATCAATAAGATATATTTCACAATAAGCAGGTATGTTGTGTCACTTCACAAAAGGGAACGCACCTTAATAATGTCAAGATCAGATTTACCTGTTTTCCATCACCGTTGTGGTCATAAAAGACTTTTGACTGTGTGACTATATTGCGCCTTCAACTAAAGGCTACGATAAAATATAAATGCAAATATGAATACTGTACACTTCATCCGTGCAATGAATTCACAATACAAAAAAGACTCATTTGTGCCTATTTCCATCTTTATAGAGACATTCAAAATATATTTCCTGGATATATACAATCAGTATAAGGTGTCAATGAGTGTCTTGTGCACCATATTTAACTGGATATAAACAGTAGCGAGACGTGTGAGGTTTCACATTTGCACTGACCCAGACATGACATAAGCTTTGAAAACACTGCATCCCTGTGGTCAGCCCCTCTGAGAGTGTGAGCTTGTGCCGCTGGTAAGTGGGCCTCAAATAGGTGTCTGCGCCTCCACGTATTTCTGATGACACAGCAGCATGCGCACAGAGCTGGCTGAGGAGGAGGATTATTACTGAGGGACAACATGCCCAAGGGGGAAGCAGACCAGTTACTTTATAGACCTCAGCACAGAAATAGTCTTCTGTTTATTTGATACAATTTAAAACCTTTAAAGTCATGCCTTTCAGTCTTGTTTGAGTGCAAAGTGGTCTATTAATTAACAACGAATGTATGGTTAGCCAAAGGTCTTCTTTAAGGAACACATTTGTCACAGTGAAACAGCATTTCATTTCTGTACCTTGCTCATCCATGACTTGCGCTTGCACAGTGCTTTCCTTCTTTTTACAGCTTCCCACAGTCGCCTTTGCCCTTTAACATGAAAAACCACACCCAAAATAAAGAAATTATAGACTCTTATCTTATCAACATAACAGAATCAAAGAAAAAAAATGTTTTGTTATTGTTGGCCCTTAAATGTGATACAAAGACTATTTACTTTGGCATTTCATATTTTAGTACGTGATATATATAAATCTAAGTAAATAATATATTGATTAACAAAATATGATCTCTGCATGTACTTCCGATTAATGCTTATTTTTCAAAATATTAATATTTTGCACATACAGATGCTTGCCCCTAAACAACAACATTTCAGCAGAGAAATTGAAACCTCTGAAGATGACATCATGGGGGCAGGGAGCATGTTTCGGCCAGCAAGTCCTGGCCTTAATGTGGATAGAGCGAAAAACGGGAAAAATGTATTATGGTAAAAAATCTAAGAAAGAAATTCTTCATAATACGACTCCTTTAAAGCAAGTAAACAAGGAAAAAAAATGGGCACATTGTGTAAACAAGAAGACACTATTGTAACATTATTCAATAAATCCCAAATTGATATTAGATCACCACTAGATAAGATTGGGAATTCAGTTTTTTTAAGTTTTTGCTTGAAAGAAGAAAAGCACAGACCACGTGTGAGAGAGTCAATGATGGAGACGTTAATAAATAGGTTTCATACCTGCAATCTACCGATGAATTTATCTTTATAATAAATATACACATGTCTGCTTGTGGCATAACTAGTTAATTTTCCTGAGGAGCAGCCCTTCTTACCTGGACGGCCCATGCCAATCTTCTCCAGATCTTCATTCTTCACATAATCAAAGTGTGAGAGCCGTGTGACATTGAGTTCGTCTCGGATGCGAAGGAAATATTGCTGCAGCTGCACCTCCATCAGCAGCTCCACCAGCCATTCTGTGCCCTCCTCACTCTGCATGCCACTGCCCAGCTTCTGCAACAAGAAGACCGCCAACATGAGATCTGTGATCCAGTCATTCACTTCAGAGCTCCACGAATCTCACTCAAGCTGGAGATAACGCTGTTTCCTGGATACATCAATGCACTGTGGAAGTGGGGTTGCACATGACCTGCCAATAGAGACAAACCCTGGGATTGTTTTGCAGGAAGAACAAAGCATTGGCACACCGTTATTATCACACAAAGTACAGAAACATCTGTGGTCCAGTGTTATCATGACTGTCCAGTGACTATCTTCTCGGCCAAAACTTTAAAACCACAAGATAAAAACCATATCCAACAGTAAAATGACTAACAGTTTAAGTTTTCACCATTGCTGCACTATTGAATCAGCTGGAGAGTGACAGGCGGACCTTACATACGGAGGCTGGGGGCAGATGTCACTTCACTCAGCAGTAATTAGACATAGTATGAATGGACAACTTCCTGTGCAGCTTCCATAAAGGTTACAAGGTCCAGAGAAAATGTCACAGGGCGCAGCAATCTTGCTTTCATTGTGACCTCTTAAACGAGCCGAGCATAGGTCACTTCCTATTACTTTGTTAGTCATTCCCTGTCAACTTGTGTGTCCATGTCCACTATAAGCCAAATATGAGGAAAGACTTATTATTTTCACTTGAATATTACAATGGTTTGTTCCTCGTATAATCTATACCTAAGATACATCTTAAATATCTGGAGCTCTGTCTCTTTCAGTGGTGCATGTGTGGCCCAAGGTATTGGTAAAAAAAATGCAGAAACATTAAGGATATTGTTGGTATCAATGTAAGTGTTTTGAGGAAATATTGAGGAATATTATTGAATATACCAAGCAATCCATCATACAATAAAACTCCCCCAAAACAGTTAATATTGTCAATGAAAACACATTCTTACATTTGTATTTTCTGCCAAAAACAACAAGATGAGAGATTAAATAGAGGCCCATTGAATTATCTGTCGCCAAAAGCAGAACCTTCACAAAATGATTGTGGCAACGAAGGGTTGAAGACATTATGAAACAACATGAAATCTCAGTGAGAAATGCCTCTGGTCTGAACTCATTCCTCATGCTCCTGCTGAACACACAGAGCCATGTCCCCCTTACAGAAAATCCACATCCTGCTGCAAAAACAACCCGCTCCCAGAGGACAGCTGTGGCCATACTCCCACAAACACCACTTTAAACAAACTCCATTGTTTGTTTAAAGTGACATAAATGCAGTATTCACAAACACATAGAACCTACCCGATACACATGGAAATGGGCTAGAAAGGGGAATGTCTTCTTTAGCTTGTCAATTCGTCGCATCCTTAACTTCTCAGTCAGGTTCTGTGCGTCTAAAAGGCAAGGAATGGTGGCTTGTCTCACAAACCATTAGTCTTGTTCTCGCACACACTAGTCCCTTTCCATGGACAAATTGGTGCCCCAAATCCAGACCTGAGGAAGGAAGACAAACTTCGGCATAATTCCACTGCATTCCATTGCGAGGCAACCCTTGGGAAAGCTCTAATGTGCAAAGTGTCTTCTTCGAGGAACATTAGGCCATGCTGACGCTGTTAGATATGAGTTTAGAACTAATACACAAGTTCTAGGCAGTGCAGGTTTGTGCAACCCAGCCATGTGTCCTCCTCACACAACTATGAAGCAAACGTGCAGAGCCTCACCAATAAGTCACTCCTCCTTCCTCTATCATTTCATCACCCCCTCACCCTTTCTTCCTCTCCCAGCACATATAGCTGTCTATTTGGCCCCGCATCCCTTCATCAAGCATGGGACTAAAAATAACTCAGATCTCTCACTGATTCAATGGCTCCCCACTTGGGCAAGAGATTCAGTGTCTCTTGTTTCACATGTTGTGCCACGGTGACAAACCGGGTGTCTGGCTGCCTTCAGACTACAATTATGCATGCTTGCACTGTCAGCTGATGCAAGTCTTGTGTGCAGGGTCACCTGCTGGTTGCTACCTCCTGCTAACTTATACTAGCTGTCTGCTGGGATCTTAAGCCTGTTTTGGTGTTCCCCCCCACTCATGTCAGTGTAGGGCAGAGCAGTGCGTAGTGGCGAGGACAGAGGAGCATTTGATCAAGGGCCAAAGGGTCACATTCAGCTGTAGGACGGAGAGCTGGTTTCCTGTGATGCAACCCCCTCCAGCTCAACCACAGGCACTGCCTTTAATTCCCATTTACCTTGGGTTTCTTCTTGGATATGAAGGGTTTTGGGTATAATCAAGTAAAAGATGGACCAAAAAACTTTAGTGAATCCAACAAAATAAAGACAACACTGAGAAATGTACTATAGTCACAACAGTAGTAGCCAACTAAAGAAATGGTTCTTCCTTGTTCATCAATTTCTGATAATATCTTAAAAGTAAAAGGTACATAGTGGCACTTAGTGCCAGAACGCACTACAGCATCAACAAACTTGCACTAAATCAAGGATTTAACCCTGTTATTTAAAATCAAATTCACATTATTGGTATGAGACTGTTTTGCACACAGCCTACAGTAAGTGCCTAATTCTTTCCTTCCTTTCCATGCAGCACTGATGGCATTGTCTTCTCGATTTGGTACTTACTTATAATTATTGTCTATTTTTGCAACCACATGCTCTCTATTTGCTACGTAGACAATAAAAGACTAATAAAAGCAGCCTTTCAGTCAATGTTATGTTTTCCCTAGACATTTAGCTAGCAGGATATCATGGTAATTAACATACTATTAATATAGGTCTACTCTCCAGGGCACTTTGACCAAGAGATATTTCCATTTTTTCAGAATCAATACCAGAAAAAGCTATAATAAGAATTACTACACCAAAATGTTAAGGCAGGCTCTTACAGGCTCTTGCTGTTGTGAAAGAGTGCAGTACAACATGTACATCGTTATGTTACCTTGGCATATTCTCAGAATGAGCGGCTCCCAGGTCTAAGTTACATATGAATCTCTCTGAGAGAAGTGAATGAGAGGAATGTGTAACCACTATCAGCTGCTGCAGACCAAGGAGATTAGACTGAGGTGAATAATGGTTGGTACGCAATCCTCCACATGGCCAGCAGATGGTGCCAAATAATCATAATCTATACTCATAAATGAAACTGGATTTCATTATCAATTAAATATGGAATCTTTTTTTTATTAATTGATTGGTTGCTTGGACCAGATTGTCTTGATCACTAAATTAGTTGACTATTTCAATACTCAATCAATGCTACAGCCTGATGCTTGACACAGGAATAAATAATTCAGAATAAAGAAGTGACTAATATATTTATAACAAAAAATCACTCAAAGTATAGCCAATACACAAAGACACTACTTTTGGGAATCGAGAATCGAGATATTCTTAAAATGAACTTATTAACTTGAAATAACTGCCACAAATCTTATGATAACAAGAAAAGTCATATGTCTGCACTCCTGTTGTTAGTTAGTCATTTCAAGTGGTGTACAATACTAGAATCTCATTTTATTCAGTATCAATACTTGCTCAAATTAGCAATCCTAGTTTTAGCAAAGACTAATATCTGATATTCAATACATTTGACAACTCTTATAGAGATTATTTTAATAGAGATTTAATGCCTATTTAATGATATGATGTTTATACTAAACAAAGCCGTTAGACCACAATTAGGGGCATATAAACATAATAACGTGTTTCTGACTCTCTGCTCCTTTCCAATCATGGAAATGGATCCTGCAAATGTATAAAATACATATGTTATGTATGTTATGAAGCTGATAAGTGCAACAGCATTTCATGAACGGAATAAATACTAATTAAATTCGATAGCAGAGTTATGTGGTAAAATATTTTCAGACACATATTGAATAAAGGGTGATGACTGTTCATTTGTGGTGTGGTCTGTACATGCAATGGCAGACAGTCATCACACCCATGACCACATGTGTGGAAGAGAAAGAATACAAAACAGCATCTGTGTTCTCTCCCCTCTTTAAGCCTCATCCGAACAACATGTATGAAGACGAAGTGATGGAGGTCATTGAGACCAACGTGGCCCAGATAAAAAAAGATAACAAAAACACTCTGCTGGTGCATACAGTATTGTTTTCATGGCTTAGCTCAACCGGCAAAATACATCACCATAAAAACATCACACCTTGACTAGATCCTCAAGTCCCATCACCTCAAAAACACCAAAGCCAGAGAACTTAGAAGTGGATGCATGACACGGTGAAGATTGTGCATTTGTTTCCTCATTGTTTTGGATGAGCATGAAGGACTTTCCTGCACGTGATGTCCGGACACAAAGCTGCAGCTGTGAAAACTAGGGCAGCTGCGGTGTTCACGGCTTAACTACAGTCATGGGGATAACCACTGACCTAACAGACACTGTATTAAGTGAGCCGGCATCATGAACAAGCAAAGAAGACTTCATGAGAAACGGGGAATAGGCAGCAGAAAATGCATGTTGTGTGATATTGAGTGTTCTGTATTCAATAATTGCTTTTGTGTGGGACGGGTGCCGCCATTGAGTGGTCTGTGAATGACAGAGGGCCATTTCATACTCACCATGTGTTCCAGTTAAGGCCATGAATATTCAGTGATGGTTTATGAAACACACACAAATCACAAAAAAACAACAATTCCAGTTTATCCAGGGTAGGGTAAACAACTAGGGTAAACAACTAGGGTAAACAACTACTGTAGAAAGTGTGTGTGAAATAAATGAGGAAAACTACATTGGTTGTTTTTTCCCTAAAATATCTTTTGGAGTACAAACAAATGGCTTTGACCCTGTAGTTTTGGCATATAGTGACTTAAATTATAAGTGGGAACAATCTTAGCACAAATAAAGATAAAACCCCAAAGTCCACCTACATTTCCATGGTCAATATAAACCAGGAGGGTTGTTAAAGCTGGTGTCTGGGGATTGGATCTCGTTCCAAATTCGTCAGTTTTAACAATTCCTCTTTCACACATGAGGCAAACGTCACTGACAATTAGATTTATGAGGCAAAACAAAACAAAAACAACTTCAGGCAGTACCCATGGGATATCTCTATTTTCTTTTTAACAAATGTTGTACGATTATATTATATTTATTTGGCGTTCAAATTGGTCTAGGTATATGTATATGTTTCTATATTATATTGTGTTTTTAGACTTTTGTTCAGCACTCTGGTCAACTTTGTGGTTTTTAGAGTGCTCTATAAATAAAGTTGAATTGAATTGAATAGGTTCATCCCAGAATGTTTGGGTCTCAGTTCCAGGAGTTTGATGGGAATATTTTATCAATTGGCTGACAAGAAAAGACTAATATCTTACACCTGTGTAGTAAGGGGTTAATGGGACATTAAAAACCTTAATTTTCCTTTCAGAAGTTCATTCTTAGATGCTAAGAATTATGAATTACATTAGCTCCAAATTCTAACTGTCTTTCGGTGAGTATGCATTTCATCTGCATATCATACTATGACTACTTATTGATAAGACACTCAAATAGAGCAGTAATCACAAAGTCATGTCTCTATTTATGATACAATGTTTTTGTCTGGAAAGATTAGATCTAAATATGCATAAATAATGTATATAGCATTTGTATACATGTGTATGTGTATGTGTAGATGACTGCTGTTGTGATTTAGGGCTATACAAGAATTGTAAATTGTAGATTAAAGATTAGGAGGGAAAAACAAAATGAAGGAGGGGATAATAGGCTACGGAAGACAAAGTCAAAGTATAAAACGTTTGTACCTCCTCATCATCACTGGGGGAGTTTTCATATTCTGGTGTCTCCTGCAGTCTTTGGTACTCTGCCGTCTCTCCCATTGTGGTAATCCCAAAGTCTGAAATCCCCAAGTCTCTCAAAATCAGGCTGTTTTTAGAAGCATCGATCCAGTCTGCTGCATGTCACTGCATCTTCATTTTAGATATTTGTGTTGGGACAGACAATGCAATTCTGGCTTCTTCCTTGAACCAAAACTGTTTCATTCCCATTTAAAATACGCTTGTGAGACTTTTCACATTTCATGTTCAGTCACAAAAATACATTCGGCTTTTTGCCAGTTGTATCTCCTTCTAGTACTGTCTGGATACACGCCAACTGAGTTGAGGTGGAGGTACGTTTTATTCACACTTGAGGTCCTGGGAATACAATTGCAATGGTCACTATGTCACTTGCTTTGAATCACAGTCACATAGAAGATATCTGCTTTTGTCTACTCAGAATCCAGTCACCTACCTTGTCTAAAGGCTGTTTTCTTGTATCTAGCATTCAGAACAACAGCTCCTATGTAATATTTGAATTGTTTTCCTCAGCAATGGTTGTTGTGTCCATCATGGCAGTTCAGCTCTACGTCAAAAATCGGCTCATCCTGGTTGTTAGTCTTGATTGTGTAGTCAAATAAAAAATCCCTGTGGATGGTTGTTGTTGTTTTTCTATTCTCTACTGCATTCAGGTTCTAACTAGCTGTACGCACGCCTTGATTATTTCACAACTCAGCCTCTTTTCCTATATTACCGTGGCAACATCCACCCCATCCCTCCACCACTCTCAAGTCCTGTAGTCGCAACAATCTAGTGAATGGTGGTCCTGGCAGAGGCAACCAATCACAGAGCAGAGTGTAGACAGGGAGGGGGCAGAGAGAGAGAGAGAGAGAGAGGCAGGGACTATAATGAGCAGAGTTAATCTTTCCTCTGAGAGGCCAAAAAACATAGCCAGGTCGTTTTGTGAGTATTATAAGGGAGGGCATTAAGCCATCTGGAAGCCCGCAGAGAGGACATCTGGATGAAGAGAAGAATACAATCATGTTTTGAGAGAGGCACCTCCTCCTAGGCAAGGACAACATGGAATAAGCTTGCGCTACAGTAAATCAGACCTTCCCAAGATAGAAACAAATTACACTATGTTCATGCTTATTAGAGCATATGTATCAAATTAAAAAATTCTACATTCACACAAAACTAAAACAATAACACTGGACACTACTATTTTTGAAACCTCCCATATATGTAGTGAACTATATGAATATATGAATTCAACCTGATTTATCTTTATAATTAAAATTATAATTATAATTAGCACTTTTTGCACACCAAAAGATAGTTCACAGCCTTATCTATTCATTCATTCCAGTGGTAACTACTATTGTAGCCACTAGCCAAAGCTGCCCAGGGTCCATCACCATCGATCAGTCACACCAGACTAATATTAGGCAGTGTGGATGAAGTGTCTTGCCTAAGAACAACAAAACACTTTGTGTGCTCAGAGGTCTCCCATCATAGTCTTAAGTTCTCATGATGGGACATACAGGAATGACATTCAAACTGTTCAAAGATTATATCAGGGTAAATGGGAAGGGTTGTACATTTCTCCATTGTGATAGCTTACATTATCTTATCTTATCTTAATTTATCCCAATCCATTTAATCACAGCGTGCTCTGTGTTTAAATTTATGACAACACTCAGGCACAAAGTCTTAGCTGTAAATTATCAAGAGCAAAATCCATGGTTTGGAATATTCATGTAGTAGATTCAACAGTGACTTTCCATGAGACAGAGGTGCTCATAATCCTCCTTCCTTTCTAGGAAATGTTGAAGGGACCTGAATGTGTGAGCTATTAGCATGTCCCTCTGGACTTAACAAGTGAGATTCAAGTGCCCAAACCACAGCCCTCTGCAGTCCCTCTTTGTCCTCACACAGCAATACTCAATGGGTGGCCAAGGTCACAGGTAATGAGCTATAATTGTTGATTGGAAAGAATCCACTATACTCAAACAAAAAGGATCCTGACCTTAGCTGAACTAACTCATTTAGGCCTGAGGAGGGCAGACTGTAGCTATATTCATGACAACAATTCAAATGGTACATTACATGGTTGATAGGCTGGTGAGGCAAGAGACAGTTTGCTGCTTGTGTGTGGGCGGCTGCAGTATTGCATCACTATGGTCTTTGGTGCAGTCAGTCAAGTCAATAAGTAAGCTGCTGTTTTGCTCTTCTGGCTTCTTTGATACACTGCAGGGAAGAATATTACTCTCTTAACTTTAAAACAACTAGTAGTGGCTGACTACAAGAAATATGCTTTCTAGCTGAAGTATTTGTAATGATTACTGCCAAGCCAGAGAGCAGAGCATATACAGTAGTAATAATAACCTGAAGGTCTGAATGCTTGTGTGGCTGTGAGCTGCCAGTGTCACAAGGTGATCTATTACAGGGTCACTTAATCAGGAAACCTGATGCATTAACAACATGGCCAACATAGAATAGTGCCGGAAGCCACTGACAGTGTGGCAGCCCTCTGGGGGGTCTCGTAATGCTATCCTAGTGTCTCTCTGTAGAATGGAGAAAATTAAGTGTTGTAATCACAAACAGTGAAGCAAAGTCAAAAACTAATGTGGTTGACAGATGTAGATCTGAATGAGCCCACTCTGATAAGAACAAACAGGAAGTTCAGGGTTAAAATAACACACTGGAGTATATCTGTCATACACACCCCAACCTCCGACAGCTCCCGTTCCTCTGGGTCTCCTCTGTCAGTCTGGACCTCGTGGCCCTCCAAGCATTCAGAGACACTCCACAAAAAGCTCACTCACGATGGCTGCTGCTATTCTGAGAGCGTCTTCTCTCTGCACTTACACCTCTCCAGCTCCTCAGTTTAGCATGCTTCCCCACTTCCTCTTTCCTCTTCAGTACATCACTATCAACATGACTGTTGCAGCATTACTGCAGACACATCACCAACCGGCTCTGTACCTGTAGGGGTTAGGAATGCTCATACTGAAAGTCAAGTTCACTTGTGGCTAAATTATCCAAACCTGAAGAGTAGCTGTGCAGAAGCTACAGGTGGCACTTTCACTTCTGTAAACAGTCCTTCTGCAGCTGTGCCCACAAACCTGTGGCCTGTCTCCATCCTGACACTATGCTAGCCAAGCATTACATTGTAAAGTTAAACAGGGTTCAGAAACAGTGGCTCTTCTGTATGACCTCATGTCTGCACCAGTGAGTAATGCAAAGACATGAACTAAACTACTGTATGTTTAACAGAAGAGTTCAGTGTGGTGAGGTACTTGTCACCTGGCAACATAGTATATAAAAGATTAAGAGAATAAACCGATTCTTACCTGCAGTATTTGCTCCATGGCCTCCTGGGCTCTGGTTGCAGTCCCTCAGGTGGATGACTCGAAGTCAGCCTGACGTATACAAGGACCCCAATCCATTGAGGTGAAACGTAGAACTGCTTCGAGAGGCTGTGAAGAATCATGTGCTTTCATCTGCAGAGACACAAAGACATGTTACCATTATGAACAAACTCTCTAATTGTTACATTGAAAATTCAATCATCTTGTGTGATGGCAGTGTTTCAACATTGACTACAACAGAAAACATTTGAGTTAGTTTATTTTTAGAAAAGAAAACTCAAAGATTAAGCTGGGAGTTTAATCCACTTGTCCACAGCACCGGAAATGTGTCCAAAAGTGGACGCAAGGACTTGGTCCAGGCAGGTGTGGGGGCGGGGAGGAATGCTCCTGTGTGGGCACAGACTGTATGAATGAAGCAATGGGATTCCCATGGACTCAGCCCGCCCACTGCTCATCCAGCGCTTGTCCAGTCGGGAACAGGGGCCAGTCTGAGGAGGCCGACACACGAAGCTATTCTTCTATACAAGTCACTGCTTTGTCTATGTCACAGACATACTTTCTGCTCCAAATGAGCGATGCACTGTTAGCTCACAACAAACAAACACACACTTATCATTCACTCCTTAATTTGTACTTGTCAATAAATACATTTACATACTATATACGTGAATAAGATATCACTTTTTTACAGACAATTCTTGGCAAGATTACATATTGGCGACATATTGCACAGTTCACAAAGATATGTGCCAGTCGTGCCAGGTGACATTAGCGTGGGCATCAAAGGGGACAAAACCCGTTTCTGATACGATCAGCTTTGACTCCTGTCACTCTTTATTAAACATTTAGTTGCAACTTTAGATTTAGCTCAAACATTATTCTAAAAGAAACCTCCTCCTTATGTCCCTTAGCCCAGCCCCTTTGACCGAGTGTCGATCTTCCATAGACAAAGTTGCAATCCAATTATTCCCCCCCCCCCCCCCCCCCCCCACTTATTCATGGTTGGTTGGGCATCTGTCTGGCATTGGGACAGAAATGTTAAATGCTGGGCTCTGAGCCAATATCAACTGGCATCTCCCACATACAATAAACAAAGTAATAATTGCTGAGGACTGTATATAAAAATGCATTAGCTTTATAATTACATAACTTCACATGCCATTCATACTTAAAATAAATGTTTTATACGTATAACTTTACCTATTTATTATAGAAATATGGATTTATGGCATAAAGCTTTTCTTTCTCCATTAGCAATGTTGCATTTGTAGTCTCAACTTTCTATCTCTTCTTAATCATGCAGGTGACACATCCCCACCAACTATGATTTTACATGGTGGTTTGTGCGTGGGTGTGTGTGTGTGTGTGTGTGTGTGTGTGCGTGTGTGTGTGACTCATACAAAATATAGTGGGCATTATGATCATCAACATTTATGATGGCATAATCCCATATTACACATGATGAACACAGTTAAGTTTGTCCAGGACCCTCCGGTCCCCCACCTGCTGCACTGTGGCCAGGGAACAGCCCAGGACTTCCTGATGACCCTGTCCAGCTTCTTCCTGTCCCTCTCTCCAGCAGACCACACCGTACAAGATGGCTGATGCCACCACAGAGTCATAGTAAGTAGTAAGTAAGTAATCTTTATTTATATACCGCCTTTCACAGACCAGAGTCACAAAGCGGTTTACAATTGTTATTTTTGGGGCATTTGTCCTCTCAGTCCACACAGAGATGGGAGCGGGGTCGCCGAACAGGAGACGCATGCCAGAGCTATTGCGCATGTTTTTAGTGGTAGGGGAAACCAAAGTACCCGGAGGAAACCTACGCAGACACGGGGAGAACATGCAAACTCCACTCAGAAAGGCCCTGTTCCGACTGGGATTCGAACCCAGGACCTTCTTGCTGAGAGGCGAGAGTGCCATCCACTCAGCCACCGTGCCGCCCAAAGCAGTGGTCTTTAGGAGTGGCCCCTGCACTCCAAAAGACCTGAGCCTCCTCAGTAGGTAGAGTTCGTTTCAGCACTTCTTGAAGTCTGTGTTATGGGTCCAGTCCAGTTTGTGGTTCAGATGAACACCCAGGTACTTGAGTCCACTCTCTGGGTCCCAGGTCGCTGTAGTACGTGACCACTGCTCCTGACTGAGGCCCTAGCGGCAATAGAGGTTGGGTCAAATGCAGAGAACAACGTTCCGTACAGGGAGAATAAAGTATAACTTAACTAACAAGCGGTCGAATACAGTTTCCTCCATAGAGCGGCTGAGGACATATAGGGTGAGGAGCTCAGTCATGCGGGAGGAGTTCAGAAGAGAGCCACTGCATCTCCATGTCGAGAGGAGCCAGCTGAGTTTGCTCGGGCCTCTGTTTTGGAAGGCAGGGTATATCCCACTGGGAGGAGATTCCAGGGAAGACCCAGGAGACACTTGAGGGACTCCTCTGGATGAGCAGGAGGAAGTGTGTGTGGATAGAGATGTCTGGTTGTCTCTGCTGGGACTGCCGCCTGCACGACCCAGCAACGAATAAAGTTGAAAGAAAATGATGGCTAGATTACTGAGAAGCATTGGAGGGGGAGGCAACAGAATCTCTAAACTTATGAACATGCCCATCTGGGGAAGAATCCACCAACTCAAGTAAGAGTGAAGCTAGAAATTATACTAATACTAATAAATGTTACATCGAGACATTACTCTCAACTAGGGGTGGGCGATATATATCGTAGACGATAATATCGCAAAAGTGAATTTGAAGATATGCTTTTTCACATTACTGGCCATTAAAAAAAATAACATGCAGCACTTTACAAAATAAAAGCTGCTATTTTGATCTACACTGGCTCTATATGCCCTGACAAGCAAAATATTGCAGATAATTTTGTGTAAAAATTATTCCATTTTAAAGATATTGTGACAAAATTGTTATCGGTTGTCAAAAATTGTTAAAAATATTGAGATATTTGTTTTTGCCCCATATCGCCCACCCCTACTCTCAGCTTTTCCTATAAGAGCTAGGGAACTACTGTCACCTTTAACTGCCAGGCCGCCTCCAGCTCCTATCTCAGCCATTAATATTTCTCAAGCTTGTGCTCATTCTTTCAGGTGTTACCATTACTTGGAGTTTCCAGGTCCACCACCACAGCTTTCCTCTGGCTTTTGTCCTTTGCCACCACAATGACTGGTTGGTTCCAAATTACCATCCTTCCGAGTCAGTACCTGGAAGTCCCACAGGATCTTCCCTCGCTCAGAGAAAAAGCAGATAAAGTAACTTACACTGGATTACCAAACGTTCTTGCTTGTTTCATAAATTCATTGTTTTTCCCACCAGAAAGAGTTGGGTTTAAAACTTATCTTATTAGACAACTTGTATTTTACATATTCTATATACAAAGAGCTGAGTGAAGATGGTCCTCTCTTTTCCACATTTCTGTCTGAAACAGCTGATACAAAATAACATGCATGTGATAATGACAGACCAAACTGCTTTGTGGTACTCCAGCTTTAAAGGAATTGTCAGTGGCAGAAGGGTCTAAGGTCAATGATGATCCAGGACATTTATGATCATTTATGAACATTAGGGACATGGCCATCCCTCCACCCTATGGACAATGGCTCCATGACTATTGCATTGTTCTGTATCCGACAATTTTTGTAAAGTCCTCTGAGACGACTGAATGAATGAATGAATGAATGAATGAATGAATGACGTTTATTTAAGTTTTTTTCAATGTTTTTCAATGTTTATTTCTATGTGTTTTGTAAAGCGTCTTTGAGTGTCCAAAAAAGCGCATATAAGTTTGATGCATTATTATTATTTCTGTACAATTTTACACATTGTTACCAGTAAATCTACAGCTTGTTGTTCCTTCCGTATTTACAGGTGCAATATAAGTGAATGTATATTATAGGATTTACATAAGCAACTGTATAAACGTCAACATTCTGAGTTCATGTAGACTTCCAAAACCATAGTTTTAAACTTCCTTTTGAAATGGAAAAGTCAAATACATAATTAAAGTGCATTAATTCCAGAGATCAACCCCTCTCACAGATAAACAGCATTTTATTACAGAAGTACGACATTTTTGCTTTACGAACACGTCTGTTCCTCTCAATTCATAATGACTGTCTCTGATTGTGAACAGTTTCTGTTAAGATTTTAACACAGGAGGACCTTTTTTTATCTTATACATTTCAAAGAGTATAGGTCGACTAAATCATAGAATTTTAATGTTCGGAGATTTTTTAAACAGTACATTTGTTGGCTCTTTTTGTGAATAAAGGCAATAAAACAATACGTTACAGATTTGCACATTATTATTGCCAAACATATTGTACATTATGACTAATAAATGTCAGGTTTGGTGCAGATATTCGGGAGCCACTTTCCATATTGCATTGTCTTAGGTTTTGGAACAATGCACCATGTATTGTATAGTAATTACAGAAGTGGGTTGCAGTCTATGGTTGCAGCAGCCCTCGTCACCTGCTGCCTCTTCCCGGCGGCAAACACACACTACATCTGCAGTCCTCCACCACAGTAACCATAGACTACAGTCACTCACTCACTGTCAGCCATATCAACAGAGGAAACAAATGTTAATGGTAATCATCCCAATGAAAAATCACAGTTACAGCACACTTGACTCCAATCCCTACCTGTCACTCTCCGCGCTTGTCATTTGCGGTGACATCTTCTTCCGGTGTGTGCAGATAAAAACACGCGTTACTTAAATAATCGTCATTGTAAATATCCAGAAGTGTCTGTATTTGGGAAAACTAAGCAAAGGCGTCAAGATTTGAAGTTCAAAGTTTGCGCAACAGCAGCGACGGTCAGGGGTGGTGTCCAGTCTGCGCTGTCTGCGGACCAGCCAAAGATCGTGTATGGGAACACAGAGGGACGACTTCTTATAATTTAGTCCGTAAGTGGAAAATATATTTGTGTACTTGAAATGTACGGGCTTAGTAAAAGGAAATATTAGTACTACCAAAAATCTGACTAAATCCCGTTTTAGTTCCGTGTTAAACATAATTTGAGTGAGTGTTCTGTGCGTTTCTCAAAGATCCATTGTTGCCCTTTAAAAGAAACCGCTTCTTTTTGCAATGTTCATAAGTATCGCTCATGAAAATCATAACTGCGTGGTGCGTTGCGATGTCTCTAGTCTTGCTTTTTATATCACTAGAAAATGCTTGTTATAAACTGATTTCATTCATTATGAAGTGTTTATTTAATATTTTATGGACGATAATACAGTGTCTCGACATCCAACATGTGAAAGTACGTTTAAAGGAAGGCTTCTATCATACAGTCTATGCTTCTATCATAGGAGTTATGAAGACAAGGCAGGATCTGGGACAACAGACACATTGCTGCCACCTAGCGATAGACCGATGCATCACTTAAACAATACATGATTTAATTGTATTTATTAGTAGAGAGCCAAAGCTGCTGTAAAGTAATTTATTGCAATAGAACAAAAACAAATGTGTGAACAATGTGACGTTAATTAAAAGGAAAACAACTTATCTCACAGCAGGACAAACATTTGAAGCATTTTGTTGACAACATTTTGTAAATACAACACATTTTCAATTTTAATTAGATTGGATCTTCCCAATTAGACATGTCCTGACATGTTAACTTGTTAAAATATTTGAAAAAACAAAAACAAAAGCAAAACTAAAAGTGTCTGTAAAAGACCAAGGCACAAAGTAAGACAGAAGTACCCACAAAACACCACATTACTGTAACCACATCAGCCCTCAAATGAAATGTTTTATATTAAAAAAGAATCAAACTGAAGCATATCATGCGAGTGATTTTAGTTTGTAACTATCTCTAGGACATCCACAATTCTGTGGTCTGTACAGTAGACATAAGCATCAAGTACAATCATTATATACACATTGTGGAAATCACTTGCCGATAATAAAAAACAATCCCCTCCTACAGTGAAATATGGCGGGCACTGCCTCCGATATACAAACTCACTGGTAGGCAAAAACTACCTTCTTAGATCATTATGGAAGACGCTGCTCCCGATAATGCTGTCAGTAGTGTCCATGAGACAGAGACGCACCGAGACCAACCGGAGAATAAAATACAGAGGTTCGGGCGCTCTTCTGTCACGCACAATCACTTTAGCAGATGCTGCTTTTGTTGTTTCGACAGTATAACTGTCATAATTATGGAAGGCACTGCTCCCGATAATTACTATATTTATTATAAAAGGTGATACAAATATTTATAGTGAACTCTGCCACTGATAAATAACAAGTATAAATAGACATTCAGTTTCAGTGCTATTTTCAAAGCCAATATTTTTCAAAAGATAATGTACTAAAATCAATGAAGTGGAGTAACTTAATGTCATAGTAAAAGTTAAAGCTGCCATTTGAAACCACATTCGATTGAACATGAGGCTGCAGCAGAATCTTATTTGGTTGTTATTGGTCTTTGTTGTAAACAAGCATAAATGAAAGGAGTCACATTAGTGTATGGCGCTGGCTAGTCTTTCTACTGTATACTGCCCTCTAAAGGCCCAGGTAACAGCTTGTTCTTGAATATAAGCAGGTAAAAAATGCAAGTATTTTATCTGTAATCAAGGCTGATTTATGAGGCTAGAAAACATAAGGCTTCTAAATTTCATTATCCAAAGCCCAAATATCTCCAGCCACAGAGTTTGCGCAGCCCTGAAGGGTCCAGGTGGCCAGGGCAAACTGGTTTCGAAACAGTTCTGCGTCAGCCTCAGGACGGTCACTTTTGATGGCCTCCAGATGGTCGATGAGAGCGGCCAGGGTCTGAGGACCGGAGCCCATGAGAATGTGGCGGAAAGGGTTCTCTCTGGGAGACACATACGGGGATAACAAGTTTCTCTCCACCTGTGCACACAGAAACACAACAATCAGACGTTACAACAAATACAGATCTGCAATAATATATACTGTAAATTTGAAAACATTCTCAAATGTATGGATTTTCCCTTTAACAATGGTATTGTGAAATCCCGGCACAGGTTAAATCACTGTTTTATTACAGTTTACGTTTCATCTTTCGAGAAGAATTGAAAAAAATCTAGTCTTCTTCAAATCACACAAAATGTAGGGTGAGAATGTCCTGTAGTTTAACCTCAGTCTCAGTAATCTGTAGGGCTTATACAAAATGATGTGTTTAACGTTAGGCAAAATGTCCCTCAGTATAGTAACGGTCCCATGAATATTGCTTCAGTTTATGTTTAAAACGTTACGGTCAATAGGACCACATTTTTATCCTACAATTTATCCATATACATTTTGGCCATTATTTGAACCAAGCATGTGCAAAAATGTGCAGAGACATGCTCGATTGTTTTGTTCTTTTTTAATCAATAATAAAATATCTTCTAGCTATTGTCAATATGACTAAGTTTTGTTGTATGGCCCACTGACACCTACAGATAACAGCACGCACACAAAAATCTAAATATGAGATCCTCTTACCGCCATGGTGCGGTCGTTTATCATGCGGCATATTTCCACATCCTCCAGGTCACTGTTTTTGATGTCGTTGGCCAGGTTGGCTGAGGCCCGACTGTAGGAGCCTGACGCAGACATGAGCCACTGCATGGTCAGTTCTTTAGGCAGGACCTGAGGACGCAGCTGCAGACACACAACACCATCAGATCTGCCAAGTTCAAGAATGTGCATTTGCGATCCAGTCATTCTCACCCTTTTAATCTCAGACACTTTCCCATTGATTCTGAAAACATTTTCGCGTATACTCTTTGTGTATCTCTGGATGTCGAGCTGAAGGAGGTGATCGTGAACCAGCCTCAACGTGATGTGACCGGCGAAGCGAGCGGCGACTTGGGCAAACTGGACCACCTGGTTGGAAGTTGCCACCTTGAGTTTTTCCTGTGTGTCCAGCTTTGTGCCAAAATATGGATAGCTCTAAGAGGGATGAGCAGGGGAGAAGAGTATTAAGACCTAAATCTATACGTAATTGTAGTTATTGATCTAATGAGGACTTGCCAAATGTTCAGAGGTGAACCTAAATGTTAACGATGGGATCCCCGAAAAGGCAAGGAAAGGATATGCCGCACTGTCCATATTCATTGGTTCCAACCTACAAAAGCAAAATATTACAAATACAAACCAAATAATAAAAAACAACATGCACATCATTCACACTTACAAAGATTCAAAGTCGTTTCTTCCATATTGTGCTAAAAGGGATGATGAGTCTTTAGATGGGGCTTTCACCTACAACATTGACTGAGTTAGTTTAAGATCTCATGATAACTTATAACTTATAAACTGGAGTGAAGCAGTGCGTCACCTCTTTCAGAGTGCTCTGAGCCAAAGTGTACAGCAAGGGACTAGCAGACAGCTTGAATCCATGTTGACCTGCAAACAAAATGTGGGGATTCCCGATATGCATCACAATAAAACAATCTGATAAAAATGAATACAAATAAAACACAAAATACCTGTTACAACTCCATTTAGGTCCAAATAAGAAAAGGCTTTCATGCTGAGAGAAGACAGATAGCCCTGTAGAATATGCAACTTGAATAAACCAACACAAACTAGATCTTGGTAAGACACAGTCACAAATGTTCAGACCTCGAGCCACTCCATTGCACCGACGCTGCCGTATTCCCCAGCACTCCAGCTGGCAAACACAATACTTCTTCTGGGCATAAATCCACCTACAGGGGAAAAAACAAGCATTAACCACTACTCAATAATGAAAGAAAGACAGAAAGAGGTTACCGTATTTCATCTCAGAGATCGAGCGAGCCATTTCCAGAAGAATACTGGTTCCAACAGTTGCTTTGGCAAAACCTGGACCCCACGCATCTCGCTGAGCACCAATCACAACATAGCGATCTAACAATAACAAGAACATTTTATGTTAAAAGAATATAACAACAATACTGTATATCAAATATGTTTGGAATTATACCTGCATCAACATAGCCTTTGATCACTCCAAACACATTAGTGATCTTTTTCTCTGTTAACACATTATTGACTTCCACGGTGATCATATCGGTCTCTCCTCCCAGTTTGGTAAAGCTTCCCCATAGTCTTGGCATTTCCGGACCCCCCAGTTGCCTTTTAAAATGAGAATATGAGAATATAATAATAATAATATCAACATTTATCCAAATAAATTGTAGAACCCTGTAATTACTCCTTTTGGTAGGATTCAGAATACCTTAAAATTTTTGTAGCCAGTTTAGAAGGAATGGTCTGTGCCAGGATTCTGGGCAGTCCGGACGATTCGATGGGAGGGAACTGAGTGTGATTGAAGGAGGGGAAGCCTGGGGTGTAGGGGTCACCAGAGCCCAAGTGGACCTGAAGCAGAATCAAGTCAACTATATAAGACACTTGTAAATTTGCATTTCTACAAGAAAAGAAGAGGTCTGGACCACTGCAGTCAAACATGCCCACCCAAGTGACCCACTCTATCTAAACAAGGCGTATGGAAAATACCGATATTGTTCAAAAATACTGACGTGGCCAAAAACTTCTGTGGAAGAACCCAGTGAGGAATAATCAGACAGGTCAGCATAAATCAGAACGGCTGTTGCATTCACTTTGGCAGCGTTTGCAACCTGTGAACACAATTAAAAGACATTTTAGAGAAAATTGCATTATTAACTAAGATAACAATAACAACATACCTTCTCAGCAAAATTAATCAAACCAGCTCTGACCAGCATGACCCGACCATTCATGTTGATGTTTTTGTCACGGAGGAGGCTGAAGTCACTTTCTCTTCCATAGTGAGCATACAAGACAGCACCCTAAATCAGCAACACGAGCCACTCAATACACACAAGAACAAAACAATTCATATATTTTCATCATAAACTGTCTTACTATGGCTGTGCCAGGAGCACTGTATGAGAGGAATCCTTCCAAATTCACACTTTCACCATTGAAAGTGACTTTATTAGTTTTTGGCAGCTCCTGGACTTTTACAAAGTGCTCATCGGTCCAGGTACTCAGGCCGTATTCCTTGAATTTTCTAATTATTCTATTTCCAAGATTTTCATCCCCTGGAGAGCCAGCCTGATGGCTGGGACTGGCAAAGGAGCTGTTCAAAATAAGGGACAGAGGAGAGTTATTTATGTGAGCCTTTTTATGCATCCATCTAAATGACTTAACCAAAAGATAATACTTACTTAAAGGTAGCATCAAAATTGCCTTTCAGGAGCTTTTCAGCGTACAGTTTTTTGACACTGTCCCAGTTCATGACAGGAGGCGCTCCTCGCTCCATAACAACAGGCTCTTCTATCGAGATCACAGGGCCCACGCAGGCAGGGGCCATGTCCTTCTTCCGATGAACCAAGAAGCCAATCAGATAACCTTCCACCACAGAAAGGCAAAGAATAATCATTAATTATTCTGTTCATTGCATAATATGTTTTGATTTCACTCACACTCTAGAGACTATTCAAAGTTTTAGACAGGGAAATGTTCTGTCCATGAAGCCTTTCAGCTACAGACATGTAGCTTAGATTTGGAGTCTTACCAATGATAAAGATGAGGAGAGGAGCAGCCAGCATGAAGCAGAGGTTTCTGGGCGAGTTGCCGTTCCTCGGACTGTAGGGCTTTGGTTTACTTCTGGAGTTGTGGTTGAGGTGGTCCGCTGTGCCGTTGCCCCCCACCTCCTCGTCCATATCAGAGGACAGCTTCATCTCCACCTGGCTGGTGTCCCCCTCCATGTTCTGAGTCAGGTTAAAGCGGGTGTACGAATGAGGCTCTCCATTGAACTGAAAGTATGTGAGAGTGAACATTTGTGAATACACAGACATGTGAATAAAGTGAGATTTTTTTTGCAAATAAAGGAAATGACTTACTATTTTAGAAATGGTTGACCTTGCCTGATCCATCTTCTTTTAACCTATGAAAGAAAGTAAAACTACATTTTTTTGGGAGATCATTTTCAAGTTTCCGTGTTTCTGGCCTTGAACAGCGTGACTTCTGGGAACACGTTGTTTTGAGAACAAATCCCACTTCTTATCCAAACATATACTGTAGCTTTACTCTGCTGTGGCTGCAGACAGGTGTCCAGAAGAGCTCTGCAGGTGCATTCAAGGCTGAAAGAACTTTTTCCACTTACTTAGCTTCACAACGAGCCAAACAAAACGCGGCTTCAATTCGACGGAAATACTTGAGGGAAAGTCAAGAGCTGTGTGTATTTAAGCTGAGACACTGCAGGCAGAACTCTCCATCTTGGCATCAGTTTCATCTCTCAACATAGTTTTTTTTTCTTGAAACAACGTTGCAATTTAAAGAGTTGAATTGTATCCACTGAATACATTTTGCAAAAAATTTTTAGAAATCAGTCGAGAGATCTACTCTGAACTCTCAAAATTATGTTAAATTATATTTTCAATCCAATTTTCAGGTAACTTAAGACAAGAAGGACAATTTTGTTTTTCTTTTTACAATGTGAGCTTGTTTCATTTCACATGTATATGAATGATTACATTACATTGAAATATTTTTTTTTTCCTTAAAATTACTTTGGTGAAACACAGTTTCATTCATCCAAATGTACCTTCTTGGTCTCAACTCAAAAACCGAACTGTATTGTGTAAACTGTCGACTTAAATTGGATACTGATTTGAAGGAGGACTTACGACACTAAACTACTGTACTGCAGTTAGAGCTACGTCCAAAGAGCCTGGAGCTGTACAGATATATATATAGTATAAACATGTTGGATGAATACTTTGCAGGGATTCTCCATAAAAGACATTTACAGATCATGCAACCAGATTTGAACAACATTTTCTGACATTCACCTGCGAACTACAGAGATGAATAAGTCTAATTCTTATGTGAACTCAGAACATAACTCCAATATGGTTTCCATCACTTCTGTGAACTATTCTCCCACAATAGGAACAATAAAGAATGCCTTTGGAATGTGGCAGCAAGACTGCCATCACAAAGAAATAATTGAGACTAAACAGGCCAACTGTCAAGGACTAGACTCAAAGAAAAAAGATATATATCAAGACAATTTATAGAGTGTGGGCCCAAAAGTACCATAAGCCTAATACTCAATGTCACAATGCCAAACAGATGAGTATGAGCGTAGCCCATGAAACTTATCATTGACGTCACTGTGATTTTTGCAAAACCATTTGGTCATTAAGGTGGGCAGAGCTCAAGCTATAATCTGACATGCCAGCCATACCAAGTGCAATAAAACCTAATTCTTTAAACAGATTAGCTACTTTTAGAGAAGTGGAGTAAATTCTGGACAAAATAAAAAATGTGCAGTAATTTTGAAGAGGAGGACAAGAAAAGGCGCTCCTCTGTGTCCTCTCTTTGGGGAGCGATATAGTTCATGTATGTGTCGTGGAGATAGACGTAGACTTGAGCCACACCCTGAGAGTATGCAGGCCTGACATGTACCAGCATTAATGAACATGTCCCTCATACTCGCTTCATACTCTTACTCAACAGTGGTAAGAAGTATGGTACAAGACTGAATCACAGAGTTCGTGAGCAAATGGAGTGATGGGGAACAAGGCAGGGGTGAGAAGGGTTGGGGTGCGGAGGCGACATTGTACAGAGGCAGAATCATGTGAGAGTCACACTGGAGAAAAGCTTCCAGTGGCTCATGGGAAAAAAAAAAAAAAGCTGAGCTGCTGCAGAACAGAGGCAGAAGAATCCTACTACTGCACATTTCAATTCAAAGTTGAGGAAAAGTTCCAGTTGACATGGGAAACTATTTTTTTACCACACGTTTTTACTAAAAGTTGCTTGATGACACTGGCATGTACTAGATTAATAAAAAACACAGTGAGCATGTGTGTTTATCTTCCAGATAAAGTGTATATTTGATGAAAAAAATAGATTAAGCTACAGCCAATATAACTACACTGTCAAACAATCAAGTAGTAGAAATGCATTGGTTAAAAAGGTTACACTTGGTAAGGGTGTAGAGTATATCCTCACAAGTTCACTAACAAGTCCCCCTGTTGGTCGCTGTGACTGAAACCCATCAATACTTTTCTTTGCCCAAGCACCATTTGAGCTTCTGATGATCATCATAGTTCTAACGTATAGGTCATCTTTGCAGCTGCTCTTGAGTCAAGGTCAGGAGTCAACAGGACAGCGGGGCAGTATGCCTGCGGACTGTTACCCAGAAGGGTCACATTGGGTCCCCACAGTGTCATGTAGGCTGCCAGACGTGGAGTAGATGGCCTAACGCGATACGGCGTAATGATAGCGCATATGGCTTACAGATCATCAGCGTAATTCCTGACATCACAACACGACACGACCCCACGTTACAATCTGCATGAAGAAACCGGGCACGGGAAAGCGTGCTCTGCAATGCACAGCGGTTTCAAGAAATCATGAACCGAATGCGAACCGAATGAACAACACGTTGACAACAATATATATGGCAATGACGTGTAAGTGTTCCCAAGTATTAACTTAAGGCATTTCTTATAACTCAGTTTGAAATGTAAGCTTCAAATATCTTTCAAAAGCATGCTGTTCGCGGTCATGCAGCAGCTGAGGAGACCACTAAAGCCTGCTCCAGTTCTCTGGTTGAGAAATGTTGGATGGAATACGCACCTTTGATCGCTGCGGCTCAGTGAGTCTCGCACAGACACACACGAGGTCTGCTTCTGTCTTCTCCCGGTGAGCGACCTTGGCTCACAGGGCTCACAGGCTGCCGGCACCAACAGCCAATCAGCAGCAGGAGCGACTCTGACGTCACTTCCATGTCAAATACTCGCGAGATTATTTTTACTCTTCTACAAGAATAAAAATGAATTTATGAATGCACTTAAGACACACGCACACAAAGACACACACAGACAGACACACACACACACACACACACACATAGAGATGTACATATGTATACGATTTATTTGCTTCTCTTTTTTTGGAACTTTGTTTGGAACACTTTTTTAGCCAGGCTCTTTTTTTAAAGCACTCATGATTCAAAAAAACTCTTTTAGCTGTATTAAACAACTTTTTTTCACTCACTGAGGAAGAGCATTGTGGGAGAACCAGTAAAATAGTAATTGTACAAGATGAGCGAGTTCACACAGTTTGTTTACCTTTCAGTTAATGGATGGTTATGAACCTTGTGCTGTCACATAATTGCACTTGTGGATAGTCCCACTTAATTATGTGTTGGTTTTCCTAACCTGATGCATTTAGTGGGAGGTCTACGGTCACTCCTTTAATGCCAAATTCTAATCTTTGTTGTATTGTCCACATGTTATACACAACATGACACAAAACTAAACTATGGCTTTTGCTGTAACTCTTGTTTTAATTAAGTTACAGACTTTTCAATATAGCTAGTTCAGTTGGCTTTTTATTGCAAGCCGTTGTCCCAGTTTCAAGCAAGACAGGATAAAAATGCAAGCTGCCCATGCAGGGGGAGATTGAAGAAGTGCGTTTAATTTTCCTTTTAGGTTGGTGATTGTCTTTGTCTGTCTTGACATTTTAAAGTTGGTCTGAATCTCAGTGAACGTTGGAAAAGAGCGTTCACTTTCTCACAAGCTACACTTTTAGCTGCAGAAACAGATGTCTAAAACCACTACCTTTGTGGTTTACATAATTTGGAAACAGAATTGCTGAATCTGAAAGAGAGCAGTGTTTTATGAGAAATTATCCTCATACTTTTCACTTCCACTCAAATAAATAACTAATCCATGTTAACAGGATCTGTGTGCAACTCTGATCTTTACTATATGAATTAAATACTTCATTCAAATATTATGACATTATTTGAGGAGAAATGAGAAGTGTCAAAAAGTCTCAACATTTGGCTGATATTTCCCAGTGTTTCTTGGGGGGTTGTCTGTTTGCTTTGAGGGAAAAGTCCAAAGAGAGATTAGACTGCAGATGTGAACCTAGTTTATGATCAACATCTTGGGAGATTTACTCTAATCCAACATAAATAAAGTTTAAAATTTTACAAAGCAAACTGGCAAAGCTGATAAACAGACTAACCTCAATGAGAAGTAATGAGAAATGAGCTTTGTATTTATTGTCACAACCTTTCAGTTTGAGTTGATGTTGTTCCAACTCAAAACAGGGTGACTTTGAATCATTATTCTGAAGGATTAAAACTATCCATAAAGTACCTCCATAAAAGAAAAAACAAATGTCAAAATTCATTACGTCATCTGTCTCACAATACAGCATTAAACTTTATTATGTGTATTCTGTCAGTGGGGTCATCTGGCCATCCATGTTTAGTACATCACTGTGAAGTATTTTTGGCCAGGGAGAGAATATATCTTTTCAATGCCTCATATATTGTTTCTCCTATCTGTAATTAATATTTTACCCAAATCTGATGCAAATGTTTAAAATAATTGATATTTAACACATCTTTGCCGCCATTTCACAAGTATCACCATCCAACAGCCAAGTAGCAGTACATCAGTTTAACAGAAGAGATCCTCTTATCTGCTCCCGCCCAGAAGTTTGAAAAGCTCTCTCCTTTTGATCACATGCAGACTTAACAATACATCCGTTTTTTTACTTAAATTAATAAAAATATGGTTGGAGTTAGATAATACAATAATAACAAAATTGGTAACAACCAAAAAATATTTAATGTTGTGTTACTTTACACATTATACTGTGTATGAATGGTGGTTCAACTTGGGTCAATAAGAGGAGCGAAAGGATCAATATTAACTTGTCTGTGTATTTAGTGAAAACTGGGGCAGATGATGCAATTCTTGTCCTGTATGAAGTCAGATGAGGACTTGAGAAAGCATCTTTATGTGCTAGTTCTGAAAAAATGTGATATGATATCTGTCTCAAGCAGAGTGGAGCCTGCGCACTGGGCTTGGCCATGCACACGCACACACTTTGACAACCTAATTTTCAGAAATTTCATGTGAAACAGACCAAAGGTGGGGCCCTCATACGTTATAAGAGATTAAAATCACTGAGACATAAACGATGTAAAAAGATGTAAGGAAAACATATTGGAATGTTTGTGAGAAGCCAGGTCTCTGTATAGTCCTGGACAACTACTTTGGCATCTAAAGGGTTAACTGAACACAGTAACATGTTTGAGCTGAATTTAACAAAGTTTAATTACAAAATAACTTAGAAATCAGATTCCAACAGTATTGCATCAGGCAGTGCATTTCACTGTTTAAGCGAATATCATGCCTTTTTTGTTTATAATAACCAAACGTCTTTTATGAATTGGCTACACTTCTCTGCCCTTATGAGACTCTTCGTTCGCTTCATCGTGATAACATTGAACTTCCTTTGAATCTAGCATTTCAAATTATTTAATTTAATACCATGACATCATGTTGATCAGCAATTTATTTACAGTAATTAAGACTGATATAACAAATATACATACCATTTTTCATCTACCTCATGGAGACTAGTGTGGTCGCAGAGGGAACTATAGGGAGATTAATACAACTTTGCACTGAACTACAATTGTGTCACACCAATGTATGTTGCTTGAGTAGAAAGAATGGTACTAGAGTAATATTATGTGTACATTATCTTTAATTTAATGTTTGAAAAAACATTTAGCCACGACCAGTCAGGTAAAAATATTTATTACACAAACATATCAGACTCACACCTGTTCAAAAAGCATGTAAACACAATCATTCAGCTCTCACACTTCACAAATGTATCTCTACATATCTACAAACTGTACAAACAATGATTGTCTTTTAGTGGCCTGGTCTGTATGGAAAAGGCAGTCCTGTCATGAACGGCTGTGCAGGGTACTGCGGGGCCAGAGGAGTGTGGGGGGAGTGTACCGGTAGAGTTGGGTGGGGGGAGTGTACCGGAAGAGTTGGGTGAGAGGCGATGGGGGAGTGCGCCGCATGGGGACTGAAGGATAACGGAGACGTGTGAATGTTGTTATAATACACCACTGGTCCGGACAAGACGAGTTGCAGCAAACTGAGGAAGGTGACAAAAAGATGTTACAGGTGAGTTTCATGCAGTACACAGAGTAAAAGTTCTCATATGTTTTGGTGCTTACTTGTTGTGTGGAAGCCGGGAACAAATTGTTCGAAGGTCCTCTGTGCAAGAAAAGAAGTTGTAAAACATGTTCATGGACAAACAGTCCATTTATCCAACATAGGTTTGAACTATAGGTATACTTAATGATCATCAGGTATGATCTAGTCATCATTGAGAACAATAAAACCTAAGAAATGCATTCTATGATCCATTTATACATTAAAATGGGGTCTTCTCTTACCTCTGGAGCAAAGAAGAGCTCGATTGGCCATAGCCACCTGCAGAGCTTGTGCCAGACGGTCCAGAGACAGCTGAGATGCAGTATGTGATTCATCTGATTTTGTGTGAGTGTGTTTATCAGCTTGATCCAATAGTCTTGAGACGTCTGAGGTCAGGGCAGCAACAGATTCAATTTGCAACAATGCAAGACGGCCATACAATCCCTTCTCAGTTAGTATGTTTGGCAAGAGCATTAAGACCTAATATTAAAGAGATAAAACACAGATGTAATTTATACAATTAGGGCACACACACAAATAAAAAAAACACAAGCACAAACCTGTAGCACACTTAAGTGAAGCGCAGAGAAGAGAGGACCAGCCTCTTGTTCCTTTTCACTGTTCCCATTGACCATGACAGGCTTCTTGTCTTTCCTATACGCAAGAGGAGCTTTAACGCACCACCGGACCAGTCCACCCAGGGGCGTAACATCAAGTGCACTGGCAGGTTGGCTATTGGAGAGTGGCGTGTTCAGAAAACTGATCAGCACCAAGCGAGGGTCTTCCTGGATCCAGGTCACAATCATCTTAAGAAGTTCTAGAGGAGGAGTTAACTCATCTGAAAACAGACAGTGTAATTAATCTTTATGTTTTGAGTAGGTGTCATTCCAAAAAGCTAGTATGGTTGGAACTTTGCTCTACAAATAAACATGCCTTACCTAAAACAAAATAGCATACCTGTGGAGAGATCATACAGAGTGGTCACAGCAGTGATGAATTGGCAGCAGAAGCGTGGACTGGCACAGTGTATGTTCTTCAGAGTAGGAACGGAGCCTGGCACAAGGCTGCAGTAGTCATCTACCAACACCTGAGCCAAGCGTACGCAGTACACTCTATGCGTTCTCTGTGAAACAAGTCATGTGGTCAAACAGCGCAGCACTTGTTTCTATTTAGACCATAAGTACCCGTCTATTATACCTGTAACCACGTAGCTGCACACTCTAAAATAGGGATTCTTCCCACTGCTACTGCCATAGACACCAGTTTCCCCAGCAGTGACATGCGGCTCTCGTCAGCCTGGTTGGCCTGGAGACTGAAAAGTGCTGAAAACACGAGCTGTCGAACTGTGTCACGGCTCTGCTCTTGGAAACAGCTACACATGATTTCCAGCAGATGGAGCTCTTGGAGAGCATTCATCCTCTTTAAACAAACATGGACATTTAGTACACCAATATATTATGAAATGGTCTTTGAGCAGTATGCCATACCCTGACTTGAGTGCTCCTGTCTTTGGGCTTGTGTAAAATAAACTCCTCTACCAAATCCAAGGTTTTAGAGTCCACCTGAGGGGCTTGTCTTCCTGACTGCACCATGTTACAAATGTAGATATCAAGGTGGTAGAGCAGCTCTTTAGCTGCACTCAAAACATCTCGAGGAAGCAAAGACTGACGGATGTCTCCCATGGTCACCTTCACTGAAAGACAAAATTACATTATGTCACTAAACTGATTCCTGAGGAATTGATGAGCTGTCACTAGGATCGAGAACACCAATGTGTGTTAAGGTATCCTTTGTGTAAGAGTTCAAAAGCATCAACATTAATTGCAGCTAAAATGTGTCTCACCTGTGACGTTACAATGTTATTGTGATGCTACTGCATCCTCTCTCTCCACATTGGGCTAAACAACCAAGAAAATCATGTATGAAATATTCTGTTAGCAAAGATGTTATACTTGTTCAAAAATAACAAAATCTATCAACTATGTTAGGACGAAGTAAATGTAAACAGGACGTAAACAGGACCTTGCATGTGTTCTGAAGAGTTGCACATGGAGCGAGAGGCTAGTCTTCAGGCTCCTTCTCTCTCAGGCTAAGCTAGTTCACCTCGCTAAGTGTGTTAGCTAAACAATGGCGGTGACGAGACGTACGTCGAGATAATGACTTCTGTGCACTGGAAAGGAGATAAGAGTGCCCCTACCTTTGCATACAGATGTTTGTGTGTTGATATGTTAACAGAAATAAAGCCAACAATGAGGGGCGATCCCAGTACACAGAGCGGAACCTCTTCCTAGTACGAATGCCTGCGAGGGACAAGAAGGCGTTTTTGTTTTTTTTCCAAAGTTTTGTAAGAATTTATTGTTAAGAAATTATAAAATAGTCACAAAACAATTGTATAAACATGATGTGTATCTTCTCAAGTTTTTGGAACAAAGTATATGGATAATAAATGTGTAGTAGTTGTAAAAAGAGAATATGGAGAATGGGATATTAAAACTCATGACTCATTCGACACTCAAATCCTAATTCAAATTTACACGCGTGTGATTTGTCATTAAACAACGGGACACCATTATATTATTGTTATAATCTCCACGGGGGCGCGCACGCAGAAAAAAACCTCAGCGCATCCTCTCGAGCGCGCACCCGACACTGGGTTACTCTTGCACTTTGCCATCCCGTGGAAACATCCCAGCAGCCTCCAAAGATGACCATCAACACTCTGGCTAAAGCAGGCTGGCAGCGCGAACAAATGACAGGTTTTCAAAAGGTATTCACTATGTATTGCTTATTTCAGATCCACGACCTTTGCATAATTAGAGTTAACTCTGATGCCATTATATTTGTTATTCTTGTAGATGGAGAAAGTGATAGTCGCCATGCAGGATCCTGACATGGGCATGAAGATGAGGAATCAAAGGCTTTTAATCACTGTTATACCACACGCCATGACGGGTGCGTGCGCGACTTTAGGCTTTCGACTGTTTGGAAGTCCTGCTCACTGCAGCGTGGCATGCCCCTGAGCCTATGAATAATGCAATAGAGGACTGTGATGAGTGATTTAAGTTCAAGATGTAACATGTTCTGCTTTTTTAGGCAGAGATATCATTGAGTGGTTGATGCAGAAGTATAGCATCAATGAAGAAGGTATGTATAACTTTAGTTTATCATTTATTTGAACATTATAGGCTACACTCCGGTTGTCTTGCTTGTTTGTTGCCTGAATATGGTAATGCTGACATGTTCCTGTGCTGGCTGTTTCCAGTAAACAGGAATAAGATCAATTCTCTAAAGATTTCACGTTTGATTAAGTCACCTGGTCTGGTTTTGATTACTGCTCCTTTGGGAGTTCATCTCAAGGGAAGCAGTGTTACCTAAACTAACAAGTTCTCTAAAATGAAAAACAAACTGTTGTTAGAAAATAGCAAATACATAAATAATAATACATACAAAATATAGGTTACTTTTGTAATATAATAAATAAATAAATATAATTTTTTGTGTTTCTACAGAGTCGTTGCATCTCGGTGGAATGCTTGTCAAATACGGTTATATCTATCCTCTGAAGGAGCCCAGATGTCTTGTGCTCAGGCCTGATGAGTCGCCCTATCGCTTCCAGGTAAGGCCATAGACGTCGGAACTAGGGGTGCGGGGGGTGCGGCCGCACCCCCTCCGCGTGTGCCGGGAGCGAGAAGTTATCACTATCCTGCGTTCCTTGCAGCCCAAAACCCGCTCCATGCTGTCGGAGAAGCTTATGAAGCTCTGTCTGGCTAATATCTGTCGCAGCCTCTGAGCGCTCTTTCTCAGCCTTGCGCAGATTAGAGACCTGGCTACACCAGTGACGTGCGGTGGGGGATCAATCATGTGTTCATATGATTATACATCATATAAACCAACAGGACCTACAGGAACAGGAGCGGCTTATACACAATTTGTTTGGCTACAGCAGAATATGATTTAATGTCTGCATTGTTTTCTCATACAAAACGCAAACGTTTGTAAAAAGTACAAAGTGTGTTATGGGCCTTACCTTAGGTATTAATGAACAGCACAGACCACTTCAGTTAGGACCAGTTTCATGTTTAAGTCCAGATAATAGTTTGAGCACAGACATGTAATCCTCCATTTGGAAATAAGTTCAATGAGTTTTAAAAAGTAAAAAAAACAGGTGTCTCCTCCGTAAACTCCGAGTTTTGCTGCAGCCGACTCCCGGGTAAATCCAATTTCTAAATTCAACCTTACCCTTCACCTCCTTTTCTTATGATTCATATCATCATTGGAAGCAAAACATTACTCTAAGTGCATTTTAAATTATCTTAAAATGTATTATAGGTATGTTAGCCAAACCTGTAGCTGCCCTTAGCACGAAGAAGAACAAGAAAGGAGCTTTCTGATGGAATTGGATGCAGCCAAAGTTTGGGCTCACAAGCGCCCCCTTGAGGCTTTCCTCACTTACAAGCAGTGGTTGAGCGCGATTAAGACCCATATTTGCTTCAAAAACACAATTTATGAGCCATCCTCTTAAATGTAAACATGTTGATTGTAAATTAAATATTTTTGGACTTTTTAAACTGTGATAAACAGAGAAAACAGTTTGATAGCACCTCACAGGACTCTCCCTGTGAGCTGTTGCTTTTTACGTCTCCCAAGAGAGGCTCGCCTCACAGCACCGCTCTGTCAAATCTGCGATTTCAAGGTATAAATAAATGAAATAAGGCACAGCACAAATCACTTGATAAAGTGACCAAACATTATTGTATCCATTTTATTACTTTTCTTTCTATGATCTTAGGTGAGGGCCTTGCCTGCCTCATCTGACCGCACGTCACTGGGCTACACAACACAATGAAGCCACCGGAGAGACTGACGCATGAATGCGTATTGAAAAAAAAAAAGTTCAGTTTGATAAGTGACTCGCTTGATATATATTGTTTATTTTGTTTTTCTTAACAATTAAGATGGTATGTTATTATCCAGTGTAATCCAAGTATGAGTCTCTCCCTCGACTCTCCCAACAAAAACCCGCCCCCCCTCTCAGAAAATAGTTCCGACGTCCATGGGTAAGGCTGGTGCCACAATGCCCTCTGCATTTCAGATGGCTGTAAAGTCATTGATTTAATTTCAGAAAAGACCTCTTTCTAATCCCGCATCCATCTGTCACCACTTTCACTTGACTTAAATTGAGATTAGTCTCAGAGCTATCTAAAAATCTTCTTTGCCTTTTAGACCCCGTATTTCTGGACAAGCACTCGGTGGCCAGCCTCTGAACTAGACTATGGTAGGCTATGTTTTTATATATGGAAACAACATAAACCCTTGTTATTATCATTGCATAACATGTCAGAGAGATGTCACCGGACAGATTACACATGAATCACACACACTGTATACTATCACATTTTTTATATATGGACTTTCTCTTTTTATCAGCTATTTTTCTGGCTAAAAAGAACATACGCAAGCAAGGTGAACTCATGGAGTATGAAAAGGTGAGCACATGCAGTTTATAACAAAATTTAATATCCTTGGAATACAATTGGCAAGTTGACATTAAAAAACTTGAAGTGTGCATTATGGAGGATTATTGTGGGCTTTATTTTTGAACACTTCTAATTAACAGTATATGATACAGACGGTAAATATTCACACTTTATTCCCCCATTGTTTTTGTAGATTATTGAGCAAAATGATAATCGCACACTCTTCTGCCGATGCATCATTTTTACTTTCTTTTTGTCCTTAATCAAGACAATTCTCACTTGCGAATGAATTTACCCACTTAAAATTTTCCTCGTAGGAGAGATACAGCATTTTGCACAAACGCATCAACCACACCTGGGACTTTGTTGTGATGCAAGCTCGAGAACAGCTCCGGTATGGCCCACAGTGTGTTGTATTTGTAATGTCTTTATACATCAATCTATAAATACAAAGAAAATGATGTTTTTCAGAGCTTCCAAACAGCGCCGGAAGGCCGATCGAATTGTTCTTGAATGTCAAGAGCAAGCTTACTGGCTCATTAACAGACCACCGGTATGTCCACTGGCATAGACACACACACAACAGTTCAGTAAAATAGAGACACAAATTATTACTGCTGCCACTGAAACAAGCATTTCCACTAACACTCAGCCACAGACTTCTCCACTTTGACCATAAAATATTTAAATTGTCCGTTAAAAGCCTTCTGTAAAGGAGAAACAGGAGAATCAAGGAAAAGAGATTAAATTCACAACATATTTTTAGAGTAAGAATTGTGTTAAAAAGTTCCACAATATCAAGCTGGCTATTGGTGTACAATAAGAGAGAAGAGGGTAATCTCAGGACACAATGCCGTGCCTCTATGAATAAGGGACGAGGCCATGAGTAAAAAGAAAGAGAAACTTGGGAATGAAAGTCGGAGGCAGTGAGGTGAAAAGCCCTGAGATGGCTAAGTGCTGTTACACACATGCTCTTCACAGAATAATACCAACACACACACACAAGATGTCAACAATACAATACAATATAGAGCAGCAAATGCATAGTAACGTGTGATTGTGTATGTTTCAGCCTGGGGCGCCTTCTGCACTGGATATGGGTCTGGAGAAACCCAACAGCTTCAGCACACGAGTCACACTGGTCAGTCATATAGAGTTTGTCACTGAACAGTGTTTTATATCTTACACGTAACTATTTTCATTATTTTTTTCTGTTTGCTTCTTGGATTTTTAAAAAGTAAGTGTTTGTTATCACTCTTTTGTGATGCATTCCATATTAATCATTCTAAACCAGAACATTTAGCGATGGGTTCGAATCCACCTCCAGGCCTTTCTGTGTGGAGTTTGCATGTTCTCCCTGTGTCTGTGTAGGTTTTCTCCAGGTGCTCCGGTTTCCCCTACCTCTAAAAACATGCACAATAGGTATGAATGTATGAGTGAGTGAATGGAGGGTGTTGGCTGGAGCTCTGTCAATGCGCCAGTGTGTTTCAGCGTCTCGCTTGGAACAATATCTAAACTCTCAACAATTGTATAGCGCTTCGGCCGACTTTGGTCTGTAAAATGCGCTTTATAAATAAAGGTTACTTACATATGACCCATGCTCACTTAACAGACAGGGATCTTCGGAGTATTTGAGATATTTATAGCTATGGTACTGTAATGCATTCTGACTGACACGGCCTGACATAACAACACTAGATGGTAGTTGAGGCTGAACAAAAATGTCTGACCTACTGTTAAAATTATTAGTTGGCATTGAACATTTTTTTTTATTGAAAGTATAGTTTTGCTTTTTATGCACCTGTGATGTAACACACCTGTTTTTCTTTCAACAGAACTAGAACAGTGACTACTACAAACATGAGGTATGGACGTGGTTTCTTATAGCTTACCCACAATGCAACATGGAGCCTAAAACTATACATCTGTGGGTTTTTTACAGATAGAAACCTGCAGAAAAGCCTTGACCCGGAACCGTGTAAAGTCCTCCATCTGTCTAGAGGGGTCAGTGTGATGCGTTTCATTCTGCGCATATGCACGCACACACACACACGTGCACATACACACACACACACGCGCACATGCATTTTACTATCTCTAATGCACAGGGCACCACTGTCTGTAACTCACACTCAAAGGCAAACTGCTTTTAGTGAGAGCCTCTAATGGAAGCTTCCTGAGGCAAGTTAGGATTAGTGGCCATTTACTGCTATGATCCACTGCCGTAATACAATAATACTATGTGTGTGTGTGTGTGTGTGTGTGTGTGTGTGTTTGAATATGTAGGTTTGTCAAGTACAGTGAGCAGTACCAAAACCACGACCCCATAATGCAGGGCTGTCTTCCCAGTAACCCCTGGATTTCCGATGACACAGCTCTCTGGACCATGAACGCAGAATCGTAAGAACAAACAAAAAGCTCTGTCAATGCGTCTTGTTGAATGTCTATAATAAGTGAAGTTTGCATTGTGCACAGGGTCCCCATACCGACGCGCCTTCGAGTGGAGCGCTGGAGCTTCAGTTTTATGGAGCTGCTCAATGATCCCATGGGGCGAAAAGAGTTCATGACATATCTGGAGAAAGAGTTTAGTGGTACAATACAAGTTATCAGTAAAAGATCAAAAACTCATCAAGCCCGATGCATTGTTGCAAGTGCTGGTTATCAACAACCTGTTCAAAAATACAGTTAAAATAAATGTATGTAAAATTGGAATTGTAGAGTTTCAATGCCCATTTAGAGAAACAACACAAAGAAAGATTTCAGCGTACCTTAAAAAGTTCCTTCATAAAGTCGGCTGTGAGAATATTCATACAGTATGAAGATGGCCGGATACGCCTTCCTAAAGTCAATAATCCACAAACATTTTCAGTTACAACTTTGAATTGATCTGGGATTGTCAAAAGTCACACATTTGAACTTATGATGGTGTTCCCGATCTCTCTTTACCCATGGATTCAAAGGCTGCTGTCTAGTAAGAGGAAAAACACAATTTATAATATCCAATAGTGGTGTGAACCTCTTGTCCATCATCTCTGGGGTCCTCTTGGGAACCCAGAGTGTGGGCCCTGACCCGCAGATTGGGAATGGCTGGCATATGACCTCATCTTGTGTTCATCCTTCACCTCTGATTAATGCACTCATCTATTGGGAAAGCTCAATTAACATCTTGTTATTCTGATGAACATTAAACCCTGAGGTGAGAGAAGGCGGCAAACAGGGTAGAGGAAAACACTCCGTCACTTCACTTGTAGCAAGAGAGAGAAAGTGTATTAATAGAAATAAAACCAATGTGGGTAGAAAGTCATATTTAAAAATGTTTTATATTTTTTTTCCTTTTTTTTTCTAGCTGAGAACTTGTGTTTCTGGCAAGCTTGTGAGGAAATCAGACATGGAGAAACTTCCAGGATTGTTGAGAAAGTGGAGGGAGTCTATAAGTAAGCACATTATGATTCTGCCATCTGAAGCTCCCTTCTCACATGTTGATGATTTTTTTGTATGAATTAGAAATTTCCTGGCACCTGGAGCCTCTCGTTGGGTCAACATCGACAGTAAAACGATGGACAGCACTCTAGAAGGAATCAAACACCCACATCGCTTTGTCATGGACAATGCACAGATGCACATCTACTTCCTGATGAAGAAGGTAATCTATTTTAGATAAAACTAAAGGACTCACTAAAGGACTGTTCTCATTTGAAACATTGTGTTCTAGGATTCATACCCAAGATACCTTAAGTCCGACCTTTATAAAAACATGCTGTCCAAGGCTATTGTTCCCCAGGAGACCAAGAAAAGGTGAACATCTTTCTTTAGTTTGTATTTTGAAATGAAACTTGAGCTGACTGGTGTATCGCAAACTCTGTTGGATGGATGGTTCAAATACTGTGGAAGTAGATAAAATAAGAGAACCTTTATGGAAATCACAGAGGACAATTGTCAGTGTTAAAGTCAAAGCCGTAGCTATTTGAAAATGATAAGAAAGTTAGATCCGTCAGACCTCTGAAGCTTAGCAGGATAGTGCCTGGTTAGTACTGTGATGGGAGACCTCTAGGAACACCTGGTGCCACAGTGGGGCGGCTGTAAAGTGCCAAACTGCCGTTGTGTCCCTGGGCAAGACACTTCACCCACATTGCCTAGAAAGAGTCTGGTGTGTATGGAGTTTTTATTGTTTGGTGGTGGTCGGAGGGGCAATGGCACATACTGGTTGCCTCAGGGCAGCTGTGGCTACAGTAGTAGTTTATTACCACTGTGTATGGAGTGAAAGAATAATGGCTTTGAGAGTCCTGAAAAGTGCTATATAAACCCCATGCATTATTATCATTCAACATCATTAGCAGCAAAGAAGAAATATCACGCTTCTGAAATTAGATTTTTATTTATATCCTCAAATCCTAAAACATTATTGTATTTATGCAATTATTTTTTAAGTAAAAATAATTGCAATTTATGGCACAAATAAGTACCTTTTATTGTACTACAATTTGAAAGTAAATGCAATCCCCCAAAACTGTATGAGAAAACTCTTACACTGTATGTATTTGGTTTATTATCAGTGAATATCTGATTTTCAATACTTTTGACAACCATGCAATATTACCAATAGGGGTATTAATTACAATACTGGTTATGACTACGTTTATTTACATGCAAATTATGTTATTAAGTAACTTTTGAGAGTTGTCAGTATAAAAAAGCTATGTGTACTACATATACATCTCCTGGAATCTTGATATTTTGTTTTTGGTCCTGATTCATCTCAGAAAGAGTAAATATGAGGAATGCACCTTTTATTCTGGCTGTCAAGAATGGAAAAAAATCGATAAAATGCAAAAGTCCTGTTATAGGGTTGCTTGAAATCTGAGGCCATCTCTGGTTCTCTTTGCTTTGGGGATTTGATCTGTTATGATCCTGTTTCAGCGTGTTTCCGTTCATGAGGCGTCAGCGACACTCGAGCCCCTCCCCCGCGCAGGCCGCTCACTCTGCGGATGACGGACGCTCCGGTGGCCCCTCCGGGAACTGAGCAGCACCTGGTGATGTTTCCAAGATTTCTGCATCAACAAGTAATCTGAACATAAGGGTTAAGCACAGAACCATAGTCATAACATGTATGCTACTGCTCACTTTTATTTGTTCATACTATCACCTGCATCTCAATCATAGACAGTACCATATGATATGGACTATTGTGGCCTATTTAAATGGTGCAGTCCACCCGCCTCTTCTTTTCTGTGATTGGACAGCCATCTGCCCTCACTGATCTCAATCCATACAGCCACTATAGAGTAATGCGACAGGCTCCTCAATAAATGTACAAATTGAATCTAGTCATGTGCATGTCTGCCATTGTTAACGACATCCATATATTTTTGGGTTGAAATCACTGCATCTTTTCATTCCAATAAATTCTCAAATGTCCATTGTTTTTTGTCATCTTTGCAAGAGGTTAAATTAGGCCAACCCCTATTCTGAACTTGTATGTCTAGATTTTTGAAGGATTTAAATGTAAGTATGAGAAATATGTGTTTGATGTTTAAATTTGACACCAAAGTCAGTGTTCAGAAAAGCATTTAAAAAACACAAATCTCAGCCACATCATTTGCCTTCAAAGATGTTTCAGATTCTACCCAGGTAAGGTAATCGGTTGCCTTTACTTTCCCGTTTGTGGGTTTTCATTGAGCCAGTTCCGACACATATTACATGCTTCAAAATTGTGTTTTTATCTGTTCAAACAGCACTTTCATATTTCTAGGGATTATCCTAATCCGCTTCCGTCCATTTCCCATCTACTTGTGCTCAATGATAGAACAAAACACAAGAGCAGATCACGCTTTCAATAGAGCAGATTTATTTTTGCGAGCTTATACGCAGGAATAAATATATGTATAAAATATCACAAAGTAACTTAAAGTCAAATAGTTTAGATTATTGGAAAGACACAGTGGAAGAACTCAAATTACATTACATTTAAGCAAAGGCAAAGGGGTGATTGCATTGACAGTGCAAAACCAAGTACAATAAACATACAGTGCAGGTCAGGTTCCAATAGTCACATGTATTTGGTAAACATCACACAGGAGGAGTAATGGCAACAGCAACACAAGGAGGCACAGATTAAAATGGTTAAACTACAATCAAATATAGCATTCATGACGTGTGTGTGTAAGCAGTGGACCCTGTGTGCTCAATAAAAGTGCAATAGAAGGAGACCTATGGAGATGAAAAAAATAAAAATCATATCTTTTGCAGAGGACAGGGCTGGTGACTTTTTCATCTCCCACATTCTCAAGTCTAATCTCCCGATACAAGACAATCAAAAGTAATTAAAGTGCATATCCTTAAACAAGTATCACATTCCTCTTCAGTACATTAGTAGGAGTATGTACAATCTGCCACGAATACTTTACACGTCGGATCTTCGGTTTCAGCAGGTGTACTCTGAGTGTTATGAAGTGGTTACAGATACACATGTACAGGAAGGAGACAACCATTCAGAACAAACTTGCAAAGATAAGGTAATAATCCCAAAGATCAAATTAAGATAACTGATTTTGTTTTCTCACTTTTGTATCATTCTCGTGTCATTGCCCAACATATAGCATAACCCTTTTAGAAGTAGAGGTGGGAAATGTAAAACAGTTATTGCATATCAACTGGAATAAGTAAGTGATCCATAAACTGAAAACAAAAAGATGAATAGCAAAAGGAGGTGTATTAGTTTAAGTAAGTAAAATAGAGGCAAGTTTTTACACTTATTTTATGGATTACTTAAAATAAAATTGTCTGCAGATTATAGTCAGTTGGATCATCATGGAAGTGTATTTCCCACCCCTACATCATTAATATTCACATGACATGCCATGGCTCATTATGTCATGCTTCAACGGAATAGAATTTAGAATGTACAAAAACATAAAGCCTCTAGGCACAGCGGCCTATGTAACTGCATAAAGTTCTTCTTTGCCACTCTCACAGAGCGTGTATCCACAAACCCGGGGCCTCCAGCTCCAGCTGAAGCCTTGTGTCCAGCCAAATGCCTCTCTGTGTTTCTCTTTAGGAGGCAATAGGAAAACCACGCAGATCGCCACCAGGACATGCCACAGTGAGTGCGTGTAGTAGTAGTTGTCCTCGGTTTGTGCAAAAGCAAATACACTGACAGCGATGAGGGCACAGAGGGCGCCAGGGAGCAGGAAGTACACCCAGCGACGCCATGAGGGTGGGTAGCATTGATGACGCTTCACTCCGCGATAAACCTGAAAAGGAAATGTATCAATGTTATACTCTACAAAACTAAATGATTACTAAAAACAAACAAAAACAGTGCCAGGAACAACACTATAGAGCCAAGTTGTATTGGCAAAAATGTAAATGAAATGAATGACATTGATTGCTAGGCAGGGGTTCCTAAACTTTTCCTAGACTCCAAAGTAAGACAAAAGCTGACGTGCTTCCACGGATGCAATTATTAAATTAAATGACTACTACTTGTTTTTGTTACCCAAAAAAATATAGTAAACATTACATTAGACAACGTTCTCCATATTTCTTGTCACTGGTGTACAAATCAGGGGAGTCTCACCCAAGCAGCAACGAGGATCAAGAGGGCGCAGAGAACAGGGCCCAGCATGTTCCAAAGGCCTTTGCGGTCCAGCTGCATTGATAAGGCCAACAGCAGTGCCCCCAACATAAACAGAGCCTGATGTCAAAAGAATATTCAGATATCATTTTTGTAAAATTGTACGTTCAGAAATTATGAACATGGTACAAGCGCAAATCTCACATATTTGAAAGTGTCTTTTATCCGAGCCATGCACAGAATGGTGACCCATATGGAGCAGACCGAACCCAGGAAGTCACAATACTGTAGCGCATCGTAGTCCATTATACACATGACAGCGACGCCGGGCTGATCGCAGGCGTGGTAGAACTAAAGCCAGACAGAAGAGGTTATTCTGTTAGGATAACAATATTGATCGAACATTTGTTCCATCTCTCTCACACACTGGTTGGCTTACCGTAGAGAAGAACATAGTGAAGAGGTAGACTGAGGCCTCGGTGATATAGTAGCGCCTGACGGCCACCACAATAGCAGGTATGAAGAAGAGGTTACTGATGGTGAGCATGAGTGCTGCGGTCACCTGCCGGCTGAAGGACAGAGCTTTAGAGTCGTCAGTGCATCCCCAGCCGCTCCAGCCTGCAAACACATGGCATTATTTCAACGCTTGGGAAGTGTTTGTTGTGATTATTGCATGTTCATACCAGCCTTGCAGCTACAGGCAGCATAGAGGTAGGTAAAGGACCGGATTAGTCGACATTCTCCATAAGTGCCGCAGTCTTCGACACAGGCACTGACGAACAGCTCTGGAACGACTGACACCACTGATGCGTTACCACAGTCAGAGCTAGAAATACAACAATCAATCATTTAGTTATAAAAACTTTTCATGGCTAAATTAAACCAATGTTTTCCATAAAATCTAAGTTCAATTAATTTGCTAACATTTAGCTAACACCTTGTAACATTATAACACTGGTATGATAGTGATAGTGTGAAAACTGCCTCAGTGCATCTGTACAACAATTATTTTACAATATCAATTTCACACATTAAAGCTGGGAAACATAAATTTTTTAAAAAAATAAATAAATAAAACATTATGACATAAGGTTACAACTTGACGCTTTGGACTGAGAGCCGAAAAGTGGAATGAGTGGTATTTTTCGCTTTTCTGTCTGAAAAGCAGATCCAAAGATGCCAAAAATACATGCACTTGAACACTAGCAATAGAACCAAACTGTCTTTAGAGCGAGGAACCAGGTAGGTCGATTTTTTTGTTCTTTAAAAGTTAGCTATCCCAGCTATAATAATGTCCTGACAATTTCGCATACTCTTGCTTTCTTTTTTTTAAAGGTACACCAAACTATTGGATACGTGTGTGTGTGTGTGCGTGCGTGCGTTAGGAATTACCTGTTACAAGTGAGCTGCAGAGTGAGGTACCATGTTGCTGACTGAGGATAAGGCAATCGGAGAACTGCTTTGGACACACTTTTGCTCAGATGGAGACTGTACCCTTTGAACAGAGCTGGACAAGCAAATGCAAGAATTAAATAGACTTTTGGGGGAAAAAAGACAAATTATTATCATATATATTCTGTATGTCTTTAAGCATTAAATTAGAGGCAGAGACGGTTACCTGCACTACATGAAGCGGAGTTATTAAGTTCCAACACTGGCGCCAGGGGAGACAAACAGGCCACCACACTGCTACCATTTCCCAGGGTTGCATTAGTCTACACAGAACAAACCATAAGTGAAAAAAGTGCCATTGTTGTGAAGAAAAGTGGATTTATTTTAGAGTGTGTTCTCACTGAGTTGAGTGAGAGCTGCAGGTTTAGGGTGCCCCCGGTGGTGGCTGTGTGCAGAGGGTAGCTCAGCAGAGTGGGCTGTTTATTGGTCACACTGATGTTGGCTGCGATGGTGGGAGTGTATCGCACAGACAGGACGTCCAGCTCCTCTGCGAGTACCGGGACGTTCCACATGCATGCCGACGCTGGGAGAGGAGCCACGGGGGAAGCAGAGGGATTACTAAACAGGACAGGCTGTGAGGGCCCAGAGCTGTTTTTAGAAGATGTCGAGTTTGAAGAGCCGATGTTGCTCCGGAGTTTTTTGAAGTCGTCACCAGCAGCAAGGCCAACACTTTTAGGCTTACATCCCACTATAAGAAATCAAATCAAACAAAAATCAATTTATAATTTGTGGTTAGGGTTTGGGTAACACATTGGCATAATAATAACATTAGATTCTGAATACCTGTGTAGTTTGAGACAATATTGAATGTCACAGTGCGGTTGTTATGGTTTCGCTCCACAACAACCTCTAACCACATGTCCCATGGAGGATTGGAGACCGTCGCAGAACAATGAGTGCCAGAGCAGTTCACCGAGAGAGGCTCGGTCTGCAGAGCTCTGGAGCCCAGTCTGAGGACCACTGAACAGTCCTCACTGCGGGGGTCCTCCGAGGAACAGTTAGTCAGCAGGACAGAGACGGAGGAAGAAAACTCGGGAACATACAGCCTGATGAAGAACAGAGCTTTTATTTATCGTTTTATTTGAAAGCGAAAGAGTGTTTTATTCATGGGTTTTCATCGTCATAGTTAATTTCACCCTCATGAAGCCGTACATTAACATAAAATCTTCTTACTTAAAATGTGCAGCCCCTTCTGGACCGATGGTCTGCTGGAGGACGCTGCCTTGTTCTAAGACTGGTGTATCCACTGCTTTTCGGATGGACAGCTGAGGTTGGAAAAAGTAAGAGCAGGATGGAAAACCCTAAAAAATAAAAAATAAAAAGGATTATATTACATGAATTAGGTAAACTAATAAATAACTGCAAAAACAAAAATGTTACAAAAAAATTGTGTTAACTTGTGTTGGCTGGTGATGGGATTATATAAACAAGACTCCAAAGAATGTGGCGCAACAACATCACGTAACGTGGCCCAGAGAAACTGGTTTAGGTAAGACCACAGTGTATACTCTACAAGTGCGAGTTTTATTGTATTATATTATTACTTTAGTATTTTATTTTATTTTATAATCTACCATCTTCGATAATAGAACCTGTTTGATGTGTGCAATCTGAGTGCTCTTATTTCCTCATTTCTTGTATTTCTGACATTGAAATTTCCCCACTGTGGGACGAATAAAGGTCTAAAGGTCTTCTTATCTTATCTTAACACCACAATTTCAAGGTTTAAACCATGGATCGATTATAATATCGATTTGAATGCACAAACAGGAGGTTGACTAATGAAATAAGCATTGCACAAAATACAGAACATTTTAGAAAGTACAATTAAAAAACACAGACCTTTTGCTCTATACGACCATCGTCTTCGGGCAGATGAGCTGCGATGTACCAGTCACCGGCCGCTGGAGAGGACAGGTTGAAAGTTGTAGAGCTTTGTAATGTGACTGGCACTGGTAAACTCAAACAATGAGCAGGGTTCCACAAAGTGTCTTTGGGGAACACTGTCCCAACAGGGTTTATGACTGGAGGGGCCCCCCATCGTAAATATCTGGTTCAAAACAGGAGAGAACAATAGATTTATAAACCAAATTAAAGCAAAAAATCTGACAGCTGTGAAAAGTGGAACTGGGAGATATGTTGTCTTACATGGAGACATTATACGGCCTACAGTTAAAGTTGTGGTTCTTAGTCACTGTGAATATCCAGCGAGCCACAGCGGTTCCCTGTGGGACGTGAAACCTCTGCAGCCTCACGTTTCCGTACCATCCATATTTTGACAGTTTTTGGGCAGGTTTGGACGATAGCTCAGACACAAACGTCACTGGCCCATCTGCAAAGCATCACCATACAACACAATATTCAAATAAATAGCAATATATAAAGCAAGATTAAAGGTTGATGCAATTACATAAAAACAGGCAGCAAAGGTATCTAGTTCTTTTTGTAGTAATGTCCATGGAAGACATCTCACCCACATCCCACCCAAAAATGCAACTCCAGGGGTTCCCAACCTGTAGCTTGGGAGCCAGTAACCAGCTATATAAATAATCCAAAATAAATTAAAATGTAATATCATATAAAAAAGAAATAGATTGATGGGCCAATACCTGCAACCCATAGCTCATATAATATCGATTCAATACATTTTTAACACAAAAAACTGTCACCACAGAAGTAGTCTAACCAACACTGAATGACGGTGGGTGCATAAATTAATGTATTTAAAGTGATTAATATATTGGTATTGAACTGTCCATCCATATCCTTTTTCAAGTAGAGTAAAAAATGTGCACAGGTTTGTAAGTTAGGTTAGGTCTTAATAACCAACACTATATAAAGCACATAGCAAAGTACGAAGTTGCACGAAGACATTATTTCTTCAGACCAGGCCGACGTAACGTATCCCGTCGACTTTGTTGTTGGTTCGTGACTTACCGTCTGCTAAGGTTGTATGTGTCAACAAAAACAAAAGGAGGCATCGCAAAATTGACACATCCATGTTTCCACATCCAATACTGCAGTCATTACATCGTCTTTATTTGAATCTGGAGCTAAAGTGTGACCGACAGCGAAGGAAAACAACAGCAGGACACTTCCGGGTTTAGCGGCAGAATCGTGACGTCATATAGATTAAAGAAAGTTTTAAAGACACAGAACAATAAAACAAAAACACGAAATAAGTATGGCCTGAAATAAGTAAGTAGATGATGGTGATGATGAAATTAATATTGATAATAATATTACACGTGTGCAACAAGGTACTATACACTTTATTCATTCCTTGTGAAGAAAACAGCCACAGTAAACATTGTATTCTACGTAGTTGTTCAGCTAAAAATGAACATTAAAGAATTACAATAAAGTCACGTCATCTTGTGATTCTACCCAGCACCATTGAGCATCATAGATCAGCAACATGCTGTTCTCCTCTTGAACTCTCATGTCTATTTTTGGTCTTTTATTATCAAAGTCTTTAAGCTCTATTTCTGCCTTTGAGTCCTCCACTTTTTTAACTGTGCCCAATTTACTGCTGTTGTTTTCTTCTCGTCTTGAAATCCGGCTGGATCTAAGGAGAGCTCTTCTTACAGGATTAGAATCACCTCCTCGATCGCAGTGCTGATGTTGAGACTCTGTGGGGGGAAGAGAAGGATGTCTGTCTCCAGTGAAGTCTGGGCTCACGTAGTTCTTGTGCCTGGAGACATCTGCGGTGACTAGTGCCTCTTGATTCAAATCCTCTTCTTCAGTCCAATCCTGTGGACTAGTCCAACTGCCCCTGCTTGAACACATTTACCATTTATTGTTAGCCTGACAAAATAAGGAAAAGGATAATTTATAATACTATCTGTTGAAAGCTATTTGCATGTATGAAATCATACGTTTACATTTGCAGCGCTAAATCAAGCCGGATTCGGTCTAATTGCTAACCTGAGCCATCCATATTCATCTCAATAACATCAAAATTTTCAAAATTAGGTGAAATTGAAGAAATCATGCCATCACTGGAAAATTCCTTCAGTGAACCTTTTTAGCATTTGCTAAATGTGAAGACCTGGAACTTTATAAGAGATAGAGGACTATTCTAATCAACAACAGTAAAAAAAAAAAAAAAAAGATATTTATGTAAACAAAATGTTGGGAAACAATTGTGGGACGCCCGGTCTCTAAAGTGCACTATATAAATAAACATTACTTACTTACTTACTTACTAAAGTCTCCTGGATTCAGGAAAACGAGTACAAGAGTATAAAATAAATTGAAACAGTAGTATATGAAAAGAGTGGTATGAAAACATATCTGTGAGTTTAGTCACCTGTATCGGGAAAGAGAGCGACCAGATTCGTCCAGTGGGACCAGACTGCTCAGACTCCCAGTGAGGCTGCTGCTCTGGCTGCCTGATGGCCCTCGCTCCTCTGCCAGCCACCGCACCGCCTCAATCCCCTCATGCACTGCCAGGAGCTGACGCAGGATACGCACATCCGTGGACCGCAGACATCTCTGTAACACAACATTGTCAAGTTCATTCGGGGCTCTCCTGAAACTTCATGGAACTGCACTGAGAACAATGTAACTGTAATTTAATACTTAGGACGTGTTATGGTCTGAGTGGAGGGGACATGGAAGCAGGTTTTGGGCCAATTGTATGAACATAATAAAGATTGGTCTTGTTATTGTGGCTGTCAATCTTCATTGTTTAGATCATCTCCAGTCTGAGCTCCTCCACTTGCAGCCTGGATGTACTACCCACTAGATTTCTAAAGTCTGTTCTGAGCAGTCTGTTACCTTCACTCACACAGATAGTAAACATGTCTCCACAGTTATGCAGATGATACACAGCTGTACATCTCCATGTCTCCTGACGACACCAGGCCAATGGATGCTCTTTTTAACTGCATTTTAGACCTGAAATCCTGGATGGCAGAAAACTTTCTCCAGCTCAACCAGGACAAAACTGAGGTTTTAGTCATCGGTCCTGAGGCCCAGAGAGAGAAACTTTTACCGAAACTCCAATCACACTCTTTTAATCCATCATCACAAGTGAAAAACCTGGGCGTAATCTTTGACTCTGAGCTGACTTTTATTCCTCACATCAAGAACATCACAAAAATAGGTTTTTATCATTTAAAGAACATCGCCAGAGTCCGCCCCATTCTCTCTCGGGCCAACACGGAGACGCTGATGCATGCTTTTATCACCAGTCGCATTGACTACTGTAATGCCCTGCTCTCTGGTCTTCCCAAAAAGAACATTTCAGGTTTACAATTACTTCAAAACTCGGCCGCACGTGTCCTGACTAAGACCAGGGGGCGGGACCACATAACACCGGTTTTAAAATCGCTGCATTGGCTCCCCGTGTGTTTCAGGATCGATTTTAAGGTTCTTTTAATGGTCTTTAAATGTCTTAATGGTCTTGGGCCTTCTTATCTTTCAGATTTGCTTTTATCCTATGAGCCTTCCCGGCCCCTGCGCTCCTCCGGCAGCAGACTCCTAACCATCCCCAAAGTCAGGACACACACTCACGGCGAGGCATCTTTCCAGCACTACGGCCCCCGTCTCTGGAACAGTCTGCCGGAGGAGCTCAGGGCCGCAGAGAACGTTCATATTTTTAAGAGTAGGCTCAAGACGCACCTTTTTAGAGCAGCTTTTGATTAGTATTTATTATCTATTATTGCTTTTTAGTACATCTATTTATGTTTTTAGACGGATTATATTTTTATTTATTTTTATTATTTACTATTTTTAATTATTTATTGTATCTACCCATTTACTATTGTTATTATATTAGGCAGCTGCCATTTTTCTTTTTATTTTCACATTCTATTGTTCTACTTTCTATTGTATTATTGTATTGTTTTAGTGTCCCCAGTGTTTCCTCTGGAGGAGCCCTCTGCACTGAGAGCTGGGGTCTGCTGTGGCTTCGGGGGACTGGCTCTTGGATCCGGTGGGGGTCTGGGGCCTCCTCTCTCCTCTGGGTCCTATGGGGTCTGAGTCCTGGGCCTGGTGGGGTCTGGGGCCCCTCTCTCCTCTGGGTCCTGTGTCGTTGCCTGTGGCTGCAGCCGGCTCTCTGCTCCTGGTGCAGATGGCTCCTTGGATGACGCTTCTTCAGCCGGTTACATCTGCTCCCAGCCCCATTTCTTTTTATTGTTTTACCTATTTTACCTGATATGACTTTATACTTGTGTATACGTGTGTGTGTGTGTGTGTGTGTGTGTGTGTGTGAGTGTGTGTGTGTGTGTGTGTGTGTGTGTGTGTGTGTGTGTGTGTGTGTGTGTGTGTGTGTGTGTGTGTGTGTGTGTGTGTGTGTGTGTGTGTGTGTGTGTGTGTGTGTGGGTGTGTGTATTGTATATATAATTATAAATGTGATTTTGGGGGGTCTGTGGGGAGGAGGGTTTAGGGCTGGGCATGTTGGATTGTTTTTAACTAAACTGTAAAGCACTTTGTGTTACACTTTTTGTATGAAAAGCGCTTTATAAATAAAATTTGATTGATTGATTTGATGTCCCTTCATTCTGGAATATTCCCAAAGGCCCCGAAAACTGCAGTCATCAGGCCCCTGCTAAAAAAGAGCAGTCTGGATTCTACGGTACTGAACAACTATCAAATCTGCCATTTATGGGGAAAATCCTTGAAAAAGTTGTCTACCAACAGCTTACTAGATTTCTTATAATCAACAACTCATTTGATATGTTTCAGTCCGGCTTTAGACCCCACCACAGCACTGAGACTGCTCTCGTTAAGGTTACAAACGATATCCGGCTGAACACTGACGCAGGCAAAGTCTCAATCTTAATCTTGTTAGATCTGAGTGCTGCCTTTGACACTGTCGACCATGAGATCCTCTTACAGAGACTAGAGGACTGGGTTGGTGTCGCTGGCACCGCCCTGAGTTGGTTTAGGTCTTACCTTGAAGACGGGAAGTACTTTGTGGAGATTGGAAACTGTGTCTCAGATCATATGGCCCTGACCTGTGGAGTACCACAGGGGTCGATCCTGGGACCTTTTCTGTTCAATCTCTACATGCTGCCGTTAGGTCAGTTAATACGCAGAAACGAAGTTTCCTATCATAACTATGCAGACGACACTCAGATCTATGTCTCACTGACTGCAGGAGAACATGGACCAGTGGACTCACTCCTTCACTGTATCCAACAGATCAGTGAGTGGATGCAAAACAACTTCCTTCAGCTAAACACAGACAAAACTGAAATGATTGTCTTTGGTCCCCAGAAACAAAGAGAGAGCGTCATCTGTCACCTCCAGTCTCTCTCCCTAAAACCTTCAAACAAGGTCAGAAATCTAGGGGTAATACTGGACTCAGACTTAAATTTTAATAGCCACATCAAATCAGTAACATCAGCAGCTTTTTACCATCTAAAAAACCTTGCCAGGATCAAAAACATAGTGTCTAAAGCAGACTTGGAGATTCTTATCCATGCATTTGTCTCCAGTAGGTTAGACTACTGCAATGGCCTGCTCACAGGTCTGTCCAAACAGGCTGTAAAACAGCTGCAGTACATTCAAAATGCAGCAGCTCGAGTCCTGACTAGAACCAGGAAGTACGACCACATTAGTCCAGTCCTCAGGTCTCTGCACTGGCTTCCTGTGGCTCAGAGAATAGACTTTAAAACAGCTCTGCTTGTTACAAGTTTCTCCATGGCCTCACACCAAAATATATTAGTGACATGTTAGTCCCATATGAACCAGCCCGGACTCTGAGGAGCACAGGGACTGGACTCCTGTTAGTGCCCAGAGTCAGAACTAAACATGGGGAGGCTGCTTTTCAGATTCATGCTGCTAAAATCTGGAACAATCTTCATGAAAGTGTGAGACAGGCCTCCTCTCTGACAATGTTTAAAACCAGTTTAAAAACAGTTCTGTTTAGCTGTGCATACAACTGAGGGATTTTATCTTTTTTATCTTTTTTTTTAATGTACTGTGATTATTTAGGATTTTAATGCTATCTTGTTTTGTGTTTTGAGTTGCCTTGTGCATGAAATTGTGTTATACAAATAAACTTGCCTTGCCTTGCCTAATTGGTCCATGACATCTTAGTCGACAAATGGATTTAAACCCATTAACATAAAAATATCTTGTGTTTTTCCATGGCATTTTTGTGTGCAGTCGACTAATTGTGATATCTAAATGAAAATAATTCATATAAAAACACAATCAAAATAAAGCAAATTAGTTGAGAATTCTCAGAAACATTCTGGTGCTTTTGTATGGAGTTACATTCTTGGTCAAATACATGTAACCATACAGACTCTCAATCTAGTCAGCTAGTCGATCAAACAGGCATTTATTTGGTTGCTCAGCTACTTAGGTCATCACAGGTTACATATTTGTCTATACTGTGTGTATCGATCACATTTAACAGAGAAATATTCAACAGACATCTGTTGTCAAACTGGTTGGGAGAGATGTAGTGGTTTTTGGCATAGAGTGAAAACAAGAAAAGACAGAGGAGAGGCGTGGTTAAGATGTGACAATGTCTGTCATTACACTGAATAATGATCATAGGGACAGTTTACACATAACTGAAGTGATTTCCACCAAACTAGTTCAACAAGTTACTGAATATGTGAAAGCATCCTGAGTGAACAGAGAAACACACGTTCTATTCATTATATATTAGTTACAACAGTATTAGTTACCATTTCTTGTTTTAAGTTGCTGATTTTAGTTGACAGGTCGTCTTTGAAGATGCAGTTGTTGACGTCACCGCGGCACGTTTCTTCAGCATCCGCCTTCATGATCCCCATCAGGAGACTCTCCGGAGTTTTCCTCCCAACTTTCATCTCCAGCTCTGTGAGATCTGGCAGGCAAAGGTTTACACGTTCTTCTCCCATGTCACCGATCGTTAATGCGCTCGTTTAGAAAACAGCGAATATAAAGTATTCGAGTGGCACAGTCCTTTGTGTCCATAAAGAGACACAGAGGGATGATCAGGAAGCGCACAGCAGGTCGTGAAAACACTGGAACTGTGCGCGGCTCATTCACAGGTGAGGCGCGTCAGGTATGTGGCCCTGGACGGGATTATGGCAAACAAAAGCACGCGGTTTGTATGCAGACATTTTCACAACAAAGCAGAGGCCCGTGGAAACATACAAGGCTGAATGTTGGCATCACTAAACTTTTACAACACAACAAGAGTGTGAGTGTATATTATAACTACACTGTGCACAGTGATTGCAACATGTCCATGCACATGTATTTTACTGTGTATATTTGTTTCGATACTGTCTATGTTCTTAACGAACCACCCTGCTGTCAGATCCCTGATATACTGTCTTCTCAAGTTTCAACACTAGAGGGAGACTCTTCCTGTACTGAAGTGGTCGTATGTCAACATGCGGCCCTCGGGCCCAATTTGGGACTGCAAAAAGGTCTTAGAATCAAAGTTTAATCAGTGGCCCATTATTGAAAGTCCAGGCTAATATGACATGGTATACAACATGTTGCCATTTATATTAATATAAACATTGAACCATAAACGCAAATGAGTAATAATTAAAAGTAAACTCAGTTACTGAGCCTTCATTACGTTTCAATCCAAGCAGCTGCACTCTTTGTTCATAGAATTATATGTTTGTTAAATATTTCTATACTCATATTCAAGAATTGTCAAAATACCTTCATAATGATGAAATGTCAAAGATACAAATATTGTGCTATATAAACAACGTTTCCACAAACACTTGATTCCTGGATTTCCTCTTTTCATACAAATGTTTACTTTCTCTACTTTATTTGATTAAGAAATGTGTTCAATCTTCTCATTTTTTGATGGTAACAGTTTGAAATGCAGGGGCAGCCATCCACAGGAGCTAAACCACCTGTGCTAAGTGTGTGCCATGTGTTCCATATGTTCATATATTTTGCACACACATACACACACACACACACACACACACACACACACACACACACACACACACACACACACACACACACACACACACACACACACACACACACACACACACGCACACGCACACACACACACACACATGATAACTATACCGGTTAATGCATCCCAGCTTGTGCGGCCCCCAGATAAATTGAGTTTAAGACCGCCGCCCTTTAGAGTCTCCCTCTTCTTTTTTATGTTGAACGAAAATGTACATAGCTTACACACAAAATAGCACCACACAAAACTGCAACATTAGTCAGCACGAGAACATGACTAATGACTAGACATGAAAGGATTTAGGGCTATACAAAAGAAATAATATCTTATCTCTAACTATGGCTCGGTAGATTTCAACCAAGCCCAGTAGATGGCAGCATTTACAGGGCCATAGGACAGACCTGAGCAAACACACTTCACTATATTTTCCTTCCAGCATTACCTTTGGGATTCCAGGCATTACATCTGTTTTCCGAAATGTATAATGTTTACGCAATTAAACTATGTTATAACTTGCCATGAAAGTTGAACTTAAGTCAACACTCTGAGGTCATCCCATCTCCCTAAGAGTTGTAAAAGATATATGTTTGGGTACATTTATGAGGGACCTCCAGCCATTACTAATTGTCCACATATTAGCTGGGGACCTGTGCACAGCCATTGCATCAGCGGCCATTACACAAGTACGCCATGATTTATAAACTCGGAGAAATGACTAATGCGGAAATGGGGGGTAAAGTGAAACCTTCGTGGGGTGGGTTGGTCAGGGCCAGTGTGGTGACCCTGACCGAGCGAGAGCCATGAGAGTGAGGGCAGCACAGACAGAGATTTATATGTGTATGCATCAGGGACTCTCACTTCCAGTTGGAGGGGAAATCATTAAATTAAACAAACATACAACGTAGGAATGAGGAAGGGGTCGCCTTTATGAGCCGATAAGACTTAAATGTAAATAAATATGAGATGACAAACACTAAATTACTTTTATAAACATTGATAAGCCGCCCTAGACTGAGCCCCATATGCTTTGTCTGGAAAACTTCACATTTATTTAGACGATTTGGGATCATCAAAATACATACCGGTACATCAAAAGAGAATGAAAACTACAGCATCTGTTTTTGAAGTAAGAGGCGATGAGGTGTAACTACTTTCTATGATTATTATACAACTGTGTCTTGAATCAGGAATAGTGTAAAGAGGACATTTACTTCTGCTTTGATTTTATGTCAAGGGTCAGAAAAACAGGCTCAAAAATGGGGCCATTGGGTCAGGAAATCCTTCAGGTTCATGTCGAGTAAGTTTTCCTCACGTGCACAAAGCCGGTTCAGGTCAGAGCGTGTGATTTAAGTTTTACTTTGGCTGCTGACGATGTTTGTTCTGTTGTTTTCGACAAAAGTAGGTACAGTGCTGTCACCTTTGGCTTAAGTTCACTGGTTGATTTTAAAAGGTCGCTTGTGACGTTTTTCCACCTTTTGTTCATTTAAAAGGTCTCAAAAGATTGATGTTGACGTCTTGAGACACTTTTCCTGTTTTTAATTAGAATCTATAAAAACTTTTTAACATCACCAAGGAGACGGCAGAATCTCCATACCCTTTAGACTTGTGGTCTCCTATAGACCATTTACTGTTATAAAAAATGCTTTGAAAAGAGCTCACTGTGGAAACTGAAAGAGAAATGATCCAAAGTGCGGTACGTGTGTCATGGTGGGACCTGGGCTGCTGCTGCTGGTGATGGATTCCTCTGGATTTCAATTATTTGCTGATTGTGTAATGTTATTATTCCACACTTTTGACCGTCACGGCTTTCCTCAGAGATGTCCTGTTTAGGGTTAGGGTATTTTGGTTTAGACCAGTTATAGTGATTCTCAGAACGTCATGTAACTTCTTAGGTGGCTCGTGTGAAAAGTTCAAGAAGTAGCTGCTGAAATAAATTGAAGAACACCTTCCTGCCAAAAAAGAATACCTTTTTTCCCCATTTGAATGTCATATTGGTTGTTTTTACACCAACATACACACAGTGTGAATTAACGTAACCTTTCTCTTGTGAAAATATGTCTTGCTTACATTTCATGCAACATATCTTTTAATGATTGGATAAAATATCCTTGGATAATAAAAGCGTGTAATATGTTTTATGGTGGTAATTTGATTGGGGGTTTTACGACTCTACCACCACCATCTGTTCCCAGTTATGGACCTACAGCAAAACGAAGCGACTGTAAAAAGTAATAGATCTGGTATGTATGCAGAGGCCCATTTACATCCTGTAATTGTGTCGTGTTTATTCAGAGCATGACGGAGAATGCACAGTCTGAAGAACGAAGCGTGAGAAGCATTTGAAAAAACCTATGAATTTTTGATGAAACAATCAGAAAGACATTTAGCTATACAAACACTGGTTCTATATGCAAAGAAATGCATTTACTCCTCCTCTATTATTTGATCTTGTGAAGGCTGGGATTTCCATGGGAGATTTTGCAAAATTGGTTGAAAGTTAATCAAAATACTATTGAGGTATCAATTGTGTTTCGCAATATGGTGGCTGAGTGGTTAGCACTCTCACTTCTCAACATAGATATGGTTTCATATCCCAGGTGGAAAAGGGCTTTTTCTGAGTGGACTTTGCATGTTCTCCCTGTGTCTGCATCGGTTTTTCTCCAGCTCTTGTCTTGACCAAGTCGAGCATCAGCTCCTGACAGAGGCTCTAGTGGCATTGAGATTGGGTAAGAGTTCCCTACAGGAACAAAACATTATAACTTAAAAATAATGATAATAATAATAAGAGCCACCACATCCTTGTTTGTATCTGCATACGACCCAACACTTCTCTCATCATTTATTTCCAGGGTCTGTGCATCAAAGCAATCTCATAATCTTCCAAACACATTCATTTACCATTTTTGAAATAGCTGTTGCACTGTCTTGGACGTGGAGCCGCTGCCTGTGCATAGTTTGAGCACAAAGAAGTGCCAATATCAGATAAGATGTTGTGTAATCAGACGAACCTCAGATTTCACGTCAGAAACCCCCAGCAGCGCATGTCACCAGGGTCAGTGCACTTGAGAATTAACATTCCTGGACAAACAGCCTCGGGGAGTTGTATTGTGGGGACAGCAAACAGGATTTTCCTCTGAGAGTCGGAGTGCGCCCAGGCTTGGATTTGGTATCTCTATGGCCTCAGGTAAACAAAACAACCCCCAAACATGTCTCAAAAACATCAAGTCAATTCCTGGGGACTATTGTAGAAGCTCTGAAAATAGAGAAGATTTAGCAATTAGACTATCAACGACCTGCTGTCACAATTTTGATTTATGTATATTGATTCAAAAAATAATTTCGATTCACTATAATATCTAATGTTTACCATACAGCCAAAACCTTTTCACTTTACATACAAAATAGGAGAGAATCTCACTGTTTTTGAAAAGAATAAAATAGATGATAGATATCTCTCTCTCAGTTTTTGAACGATAAGGTAATAGTCTATATCTTGACAAGTCTAGTATTTCCTCTATCAGTGTACTGTCTTTAGCAGCCCCTCTAAGTTTGAAGAGTATCCACAGCGCCGTAAAGATGGCGCCGTGGCAAGAGCTCTGGTGTGTGTCGTCTTCTCTGTCTGGTGCACGCTGGGGTAGTCTTGCACAGTTTTTCCAATGTGGTTTTACTGCAAATGGCAAATAAATGAATCTGAATCTGAATCATGCCATGTGTTTACTGTGTGGAAAAACACCCAAAAAGAATTAAATTGTGATAAGTCTGAAACAACTCAAAAATCTATATTCAAGCCAACTAATACAATAGTACTACAAGTTACTTCTAAACAATTTGCGCCCAAGCAGTTGCAATGCACCAGCCCCCTTCAGCAAGACGAGTGAGTGTTTGAGGTTTTTAGAGATTAGATTAACTACCTTGACGACGGTCAAAATGAACAAAGTT